ATCGTAACTAATGTAGATCCAGACTGTGAGACAAATGAGCTTATTATGTTTTAAGAAGTCAAAGACAAGCTTGAAAATGTCAGCACAGAACAGGAAGCCATATACAGTGACAACAAATTTATAAGCAGCACAAATGAAACGTAACATAGGGACCTCAAAAGATGGAAAATACTGAGGAGAGGCTAAAGGTGTGGAGGAAGAAGTGAGATCTCAGATGTTTCTGGAGTTCTAGAAGGAGAGAAAGAGAATGTGCATCAGAAACAATATTTGAAGGGAGAGTGGCTGAGAATTTGCCAGAACTGAGGGAAAACACCAATGCACAGATTCAAGAACCCCAGTGAATCCCAAGAAGAATAAACGAAAAGAAATTCTCATCTGCACATGACAGTAGAATCCAGAAAACCAAAGACAATGAGAAAAGTCTTAAAAGCAGCAGAGGAAAAAGACAGGTGACCTTCAAGAAGCAGTTAGACTGACGGCAACCTCTTGGCCACAATGACGGACGTCAGCGGACCATGGAATGTGCTCGATGTGGCCCAGAGCACGGAAGAAAGGACCTGCCAACCCAGGATTGATACTCCATGTAAATATATTCCAAGAATGAAAGTGAGCACATTCTAAAACAAACCAAAATAGATTTCTTTTTGAGGAAGCTTGGCCCTGAGCTAACTGCTGCCGATCCTCCTCTTTTTGCTGAGGAAGACTGGCCCTGAGCTCACATCCATGCCCATCTTCCTCTACTTTATATGTGGGACGCCTGCCACAGCATGGCTTGATAAGCAGTGCCATGTCCACACCCGGGATCTGAACTGGTGAACCCTGGGCTACCGAAGCAGAGCGCAAGAACTTAACTGCTACGCCACCGGGCCAGCCCCCAAAATAGATATTTATACCACCAGGCTCTCCTGGGGTGCTTGTTAAAAATGCAGGTTCATTGGCCCCATTGCAGACCTCCTGCTTCAGAAACTCTGACATAGGGCCCAGAAATCTGTCTGTGGCCAAGTGACTCTGACAGTCCCAATGCTGGTGATTTCCCACGGTGTGGAATAAGGTAGGGCTTTGCAAGAGACCATGCTGAAGAGGCTGACAGGCACCTGGCCTAAAGGGTCTTTTGTGCCAGCCTGCAGGCAATGGGGAGCCATGGCAGGTTCTAGGCAGGGAAGTGACAATGACCAAATTTAGACAGATGACTTTGGCAGCCAGAGAGGGGAAGAGATTTGAAGGAGGGAAGGCTGGTGGAAGGAGATCCATTAAGAAGTGGTCGCACGGGCCAGCCCGGTGGCCGAGTGGTTAAGTTTGCCCACTCTGCTTTGGCGACCCAGGGTTTCACCAGTTCAGATCCTGGGTGTGCACATGCCACCACTCATCAGGTCACGCTGAGGCAGCATCCCACACAGCACAACCAGAGGCATTCACAACTAGAATATACAACTATGTACTAGCTGCGGGGGGTGGGGGGGGGGTGAGGCGGAGAGGGGCGCTTTGGGGAGAAGAAGAAGAAAAAAAGATTGGCAACAGAACTTAGCTCAGGTGCCAATCTTTAAAAAAAAAAAAAAAAAGTGGTTTCAGCCATAAAACTCCTAGAAGAAAATACAGGCGTTATGTTCTTTGACATCGGTCTCAGCAGCATCTTTTGGAATACCATGTCTACTCAGGCAAGGGGAACAAAAGAAAAAATAAACAAATGGGACTACAGCAGACTAAAGAGCTCCTGCAAGGCAAAGGAAGCCAGGAACGAAGAAAAGACAACCCACCAAGTGGGAGAAAATATTTGCAAATCATACACCCGACAAGGGGTTAATCTCCAAAATATATAAAGAACCCATACAACTCAACAGCAACAACAAAACAGATAACTCCATCAAAAAATGGGCAGAGGATATGAACAGGTATTTTTCCAAAGAAGATATACTGACGGCCAACAGGCACATGAAAAGATGCTCAACATCACTAATAATCAGGGAAATGCAAATCAAAACTACAATGAGATATCACCTTATATGTGTTAGGATGGCTAAAATCACGAAGACAAAAAACAACTGTTGGAGAGGGTGTGGAGAAAAGGGAACCCTCATCCACTGCTGGTGGGAATGCACACTGGTGCAGCCACTATGGAAAACAGGATGGAGATTCCTCAAATAATTAAACACAGAAATATCATATGACCCAGCTATCCCACTACTGGGTATTTATCCAAAGAACTTGAAATCAACAATTCAAGGAGACTTATGCACCCCTGTGCTCATTGTAGCATTATTCACAATAGCCAAGATATGGAAGCAACCCAAGTGCCCATTGACTGATGATTGGATAAAGAAGGTGTGGAATATATACATACATTGGAATACTACTTAGCCATAAAAAAGACAAAGTTGTCCCATCTGCAACCACATCGATGGACTCTGAGGGTATGACGTTAAGCAAAATAAGCCACAAAGAGAAAGACAAACACCGTATGACTTCACTCACACGTGGAAGATAAACACACATGGACAAAGAGAACGGATCAGTGGTTACCAGAGGGGAAGGGGGCTGGGGGTGGGTGAAAGGGGTAAAAGGGCCCATTTATATGATGACTGACAAATAATGATATACAACTGAAATTGCACAATGTAATAAACTATTATGACCTCGATAAAATTTTTTTTAAAGTGGTTGCAGGAATCCATGGGAGAGAGGCAGTGGATTCAGCTGAGGGTTATGATCTCACACGTCAGTGTCCTGGTCCCATCCCAGCGCAGCTGACCAGGTGGCAGTGGTCGCACAGGTCCAGGGCTGAAGGAAGTCTGGGCAGGTGTCCTGGGTGTCCTGAAGGCTCAGTGTGAGCGTGCTGCGTGAAGCCAGGGGACTGGATTACAGTACTCCGAGGAGGCGGGCAGGGGAGGAAGAGAACAGGCTGGCCCACAGCGCCCTGGGAACACAGCAGGTGAGGAAGGGGACGGAGTAACCAAGATGCCAGCACGTGCCGATGGCCTTCCTTGTGGATGATGCAATGCCCGGCATTTCACACACCACGTCTCCGTCAGCTTGGTGACAGCGTGGTGAGCTCCCGCCCCATCTCACACACAAGGACACCGGGCTCTGCAGGTTAAATGACCTGCCCAAGGACACAGCAGCCTGGAAGTGGTGGGGCGAGGGCTTGACCCGGGTCCATCTGATGGGCCCCTTCCCTTAGTGAAGGAGCAGGAAGATGGAGCGCATTGGGCCTGTACCATGAATGCAAATTCCGCCCAAAACAACACCAGCTCCTTTGCAAGAGCACAGAATTTCCAGGAACCGGTCATCCTGCCGTCCACACACATTTCTGCCTCTCCCTCCAGGAAGTCTCTCTGATGTAGGAAAGGACACGGGCTTTCCAGAGGCTGTGGGGCCTTCACCTCTCAGCCTGATCTGAAAACTGAGGATAACAACAGCTTCTGTCAAAAGGCTTTTCTGCATCTATTGCTACGATCATGCTATTTTCCTCCATTAGCCTGTTGATGTGATGGATGACATTAGTTGATTGAACCAAAATGTACAAAGATTGAACCAGCCTTGTATACTGGAGATAAACCCCACTCAATCTTGGTGTATAGTTTTTTTTAATACATCGTGGGATTCAATGCGCTGATATTTTGTTGAGGATTTTTGCATCTAGGTTCGTGAGAGATATTGGTCCATAGTTTTCTTTCCTTGCAATGTCCTTGTCTGGTTTTGGCATTAGGGGAATGCTGGCCTCATAAAATGAGTTAGGAAGTGTTCCCTCTGCTTCTGTCTTCGGGAAGAGAATGTAGAGAACTGCTGTTATTTCTTCCTTAAAGGTCTGGTAGAATTCACTAGTGAACCCATCTGGGCCTGGTGCCATTTTGGAAGGTTATTTATTATTGATACAACTTCTTTAATAGAAACAGCCTTATTCACTCGTCTTGATTCTTCTTGTGTGAGTTCTGGCCGAATTGTCTTTCAAGGGCTTGGTCCACATCATCCAGGTTATCAAATTTGTGGAAGCTCACTTATTCCTAGGATTCCATTATCCTCTCAATTTCCCTGGGATCTGCAGTGATGTCCCCTCTTTCATTTCTGGTATTAGTAATTTGCGTCCTTTCTCTTTTATTCTTGGCCCGACTACAGGCTTATTGATTTTAGTGATCTCTTCCGAGAACCAGCTCTTGGTTTAGATGACTTTCTCTATTGATTTTCTGTTTTCAATGCCATTGATTTCTGCTCTTTGATTATATCTTTTCTTCTACTTTGGACTTATTTTTGCTCTTCCTTTTCTAGTTTCCTAAAGTCGAAGCTTAGATGACTGATTTTAGAGGCATCTTCTTTTCTCATATGTGCATTCTATGCTGTCAGTTTCCCTCTAGGTCCTGCTTCTCCTGCATGGCACAAATTTTGATAAGCTGCATTTTCATCTTTAGTTCAAACATTTTTTAACTTCTCTTGAGATTTCTCCTTTGACCACACGGGTGCTTCAGAACATTACGGCACTTATCTGTGGGAGGCAAATGGTGAAATCCCCACTTCACAGACGGGGAAACAGGTTCTGAGAGAAGTGCCTCGCCCAGGGCCCCAGGGCCAGGAAACGCGGAGCTGGGCCTGGTGTAGCTGTCTGGTCCCCTGGGGACCAGCCTGGCTCTCAACTCCCCATCATTACCACCAGCAGCTCCACCTGCTCAGTCAAGACGGCGGGCTTTGAATTGCTACAAGCTCAGGGTGATCCTGGGGGTTCAGGGCGGGAAACCTGGCCTTGGTCGGACTCGGGGTCACTATCTTAGGGGCAGGGTCCAAGGCCAGACACTCTCCAGCCTCAAGTGTTTTCTCTCTGACCATCGGGCCTCACCGGGCACAGCAGGGTCCAGGTGGAGACCCGTTCCGCCAACACACACCCACGAAGCACGTGGCTGTCCTGCGGAGGGGTCCCTCCTGACGTTCTTCCAAACCCCATGAGGCCGAGGCCTCCCCCTGGACAGTGTTAGAACACAGCCTGACTCAAAAGAGGCACTGTCAAACGCCACAGATTTTGAGTAGAAAATAAGCCACTTCTTTAATAATACATCGAAATGCGGGCTCCCTGACCTCGCTGGTCTCGCGAGGTCCTGGCTTCCCTGAGGGTCCCCTGTGCAGCCAGGCCAGGCTGGAGCCCTTGGGATGGCGGGGGCCCGAGGAAGGGACGCAGGGCAGCAGCAGGGGCTGGGCAGCCTCCGCTGGGCTGTCTCAGTAGCAGTCGGCCTGGTTCTCCCCCCGGACGCCCACGGTGGCCAGCATGTCCTGCAGGAGTGACTGAGGGCTCTTTTCCACGTGGTCGCTGCTCTCGGCCAGCGCACCCCGCAGGCCCTCTAGGTCCAAGGACCTCAGCACGGCCAGCACAGCCTCAGGCTCCAGGTCCCCCAGAGGCTCGCCCTGCTCACCCGCCCGCCACCTCTGCAGGGCGGCCTCCACAGGGACCACGTCGGGGCTGCCCTCGGCCTCCTGAAGGCCGCCGGAGGGAGTGGCCTGGGCCCTCAGGAAGAGGAGGAGGTCACAGGACTTCTGGGCCACGGGCCGGTCACAGTCAAATAAGGCACGGAAGGCGAACTCAAAGAGCCGCACTCGGCTGAGCGCCCGCAGCGCCTGGGCCAGGGGGCCGGGCGGGGTCGCCTGGGGCGCGGCCACAGCGTAGGGGCAGCGGGCACTGGGCTGGCCCAGCGTCTGTGCCAGGAACACCAGCGCCAGCTCGAGGCCCTGCGCCCGGACCTCCCAGTCCAGGTCCCGGCTCGCCGCCTGGAGCACCCTGGCCACAAACCGCTCCGTGTCCTCGGCCACGTCGGCATGGCGGTCCCTCAGCCACTCGGTGAAGACCTGCATGGCGGCCCTCCGGGGGAAGCCCTCCGAGTCCGTGGAGAGGACGTGCAGCAGCTCCGCGAGCAGGCTCTCCTGCAGGACAGAGCGGAGGAGGGTCGGTGGGGCCGGGGCTCCTGATGGGCAGGGGCGTGGAGGGCTGGGCTCAGTCTGCTCTGCCTCCTTCAGGCCACAGCCCCTCGGCCCTCTCCTCTCTTCGGTCAGATGGGGTGACCATGTCCAAGTGACAGGGGTGCCTGGGGGCTGGGCCACAGACCCAGGGGACATCCCGACAGCACCCTGGTCCCCACCCACGCCCAGGTGGCTGACTTGCTATGCTGTGGGCACCAGACAGATACACACACGGACGGCTGTGGTGGGGGCTGCCTGGCATGGGCCCTGCCGCCTCCTACCTTCTGGCCCCCCAGCTGTTCTGGGCTGGCGGCGGTGGCGTGCAGGCCCTGGCTGGACAGCTGGCCCACAGCGGTCACCGCGCTTGCACGGACGTAACTCTCAGGGTCTCGCAGGAGCTGCTCGGCGAGCTCGGGCACCTCTGACGCGAGGAGCGCGTGTCTGAAGCCGGCCTGTCCTGGGGGTCCAAGGGGCCACCACCAGCTGTGACCAAGGGCTGAGCCCGCAGCCTCCCCTTGCTCCCCTGAGGTCAGCCAAGGGGGCCCGGGTTCCCAAAGCCAACAAGAGGCGACTGGCACGTCAAGGCCAGGTCAGCCCCACTGCCCCACACTCACCTCCCCAGTGTCTGGTCACCTGAGTCAGGAACTCCAGGCCCGAGTCCCTCACCTCCCAGCAGGGGCTGCACAGACGCTTCCGCAGCACAGGGAGCAGCTCTGGAGCAGGAGGAGCGGCTCAGAGGGGCCAGGGTTGCGTCCCCACCCCTCAGGGCCACCTGGGCCTTCCCACCCAGCACCCAGCTGCCTCCTCCCCAACGGCTCCCTTAGTTTACTGCTGGCAGGGGCCAGGATTACCTCTGAGGAACAGCTGGGTGTCGGGGTCCAGATCGCAGCAGCCGGGGGCCCTGGGGGAGCTCAGGAGCCATCTGAGCGTGGCCTGGAAGGCTTTCTTCAGGACCTGCAGTGGGCAGGACAAGGCTGTGGGGCCACGACGGGTGAGCTGCCCCCCATCAGCCTCTTGTTCTCCTGCCCCCGCCCCAGGGTGCGAGATGGGCACAGGTGCAGGGAGAAGGGAATGCTGGGCTTCATTTTTATGAGGCGGAAGCATCTGGAAGCAGCAGAACTGGCATCCCAGACATGAGGGAGGAGAAGGCAGCTGTCGCCGGGACCCCCACCACTGGGGAACGGGATGTCTGCACCAAGACACGGGGCACGCCAGGGCAGCTCCTCCACCAGGCCCAGGAGCCTGCCAGGCCTTTCGCCTGAGTCCCCCTGCGGCCCGCCCAGCGGCCTTGACACTGCGCCCGCCACACCTGGCTCAGCCGTGGGTGGGAGAATGAGCACGTCTGCAGGAGATGTCAGTGAGTCTGGACCCCAAGTGCAGGGCCCCCATGGCTCCGGCTCACTGTCTCCTCGAGAATTCCCAGGAGAAGACGGGACCCCCTCCCTGCTTCCACAGCGCAGCCCCCGCACCCAGGCCTCACCCCGTGCGCCTGCCCCTCAAAATTCGCGTCACGAAGCGACTCCAGCCCCAGGGAAAGCCCCGCTCCAAGAGGCCCACGGGGGTCCCTCTGCCCACCTCCCTCCTGTCCCCCGGCCCCCGTGCCCGTACCGTGGGGCTGGAGTCGGGGCTCCTGAGGTATTCCAGGAGGACAGCAGACACCTGCGTCACCAACTCCTGGGGGCCTGAGGCAGACGCGGACGGGTGAAGCACCCCCACCTCCACCCCGGGGCCTCCCCAGCACAGGAGGGAGTCAGGGGACAGAACCCCCAGGTCAGCCGAATCCCCCGAGAAGACACCAGAGGCCGGCAGCCAGGAAAGCGTGGCGGGGTCTTGCCTGACGCCGGGCTGCACGAGAACGCACCCCTACTCACCTGTCTCCTGAGCCAGCGCCCCCAGGAAATCGAGGGCTGCTCGCTGGACCCGGACACAGCCCGCCAGGATCGCACAGAGGCGGCCCCCCACGTCAGAGGCAGGGGCTGCCGAGCCATTGCAGAAGCGCAGAATTGTCACCGCAGCCCCCAGCAGTGGCGCCTGGGGCCAGGGCGAGGGACGCTGGGGCTGGGGGGAGAAGGGAGGGTCAGTGCAGGCCTCGAGCGCCACTGCCGGTGTGGACGCGGGCCAGGGCCACACCTACCAGCGGCTGCAGCAACTCAAGGTGGGCCAGGGTCTGGCACAGGAGACCGGCACAGGCTGACTTGGAGGAGAGGAGTGTGTCCACTGTCACCGAGTCACCCGTGGTCCCCTCCGGCAAGCCTGGTGGCCAAACCAGAAACAGTACCAGGTTAACGGGCACCTCCTGCGTGACCAGCATAGGCCCTGCCACCGGTCACCAACCCCGAGGCCACTGCTCCATGTTAGAGACGAGGACCAACGGTTCCAAGCAGGTGGCTGGTCCAGGGGGATGTCTGGACAGCCGGAGCTGGGTCTGAGCCTGTGCGTAGGGCTTTCGAGAAACTGACTCCCAGCTCTCGCTGCAGCCTGTTCCTGGCCGGGTCCCACTAGCCAGGAGGTCAGCCCTCCGCTTGACACGGGCGTCCGCCAGCCATATGGCGTGCCTGGGTCCCATCTCTAATCCTCCACACATCGTGCAGCTGAAGCAAGACGAGTCAGAGGAGGAAACCCACTCGCCCGTCCCAGAATCCAGACGGCTCTGGGAGGATGAGTGCCAGGCCCACGTGACCATTCTGGGTCAGGAACAACCATGTGGCTCGAGCCCACAGTGACCACTGACCACCAAGGCCTGGGGTGGGGACGAAGCCAGCCACTCCAGGGCCACCATCATGCCCAACGGGGGCGACGATGCTGCCCACTGACTCCGGGGTGGGGACATGAAGATGTGAGTGGCAAAGCCACACCTGGGACGACGGCCTACACCCCGCCACCTTCACTCTTAGTTGGGGGTGGCGAGCCGGGCGCCCTGCGGCCCATCAGCCTGCGCCGACCGCAAGGACACACTCAGGACCCCAGAATCCTGCTCTCCTGGTCTGCCCACCCTTCCCAGGCAGCGTACCTGGGGGTCCGGGGGCCTGATCGGCAGCTGTCAGGACACAGGCCAGGGGCTGGAGAAGGACACCAAAGGCCTGGGCCCTCAGTGCCTGTGGACTGAGGACAGAGGACATGGTGAGCGGGCTCCCCAACCCCCAGGTGGGCTGTCTGCCCACCTAACATCCCCAGCAAGTCTGGGCAAAGGGGCGGTGTTGGGATCCAGATGCCCCTTGAGAAACAGCTTCCCTGCAGGCACCGGGGCCGGCACTGCAGGCCGCTGGCATGCAACTCCATGGCAGCTGCTAGACAGCGCCTCCCTGGGCCCCAGGAGCAGCCCCCAGGTCTGACCAGACCTGCCCGATGGGCGGTGCACGCTCGGAGCCATGGGGCAGGGAGGCGTCCCTTCCCACATCTTGGAAGATGGTCCTGCCGCACACCTGGGCCCAGGCTGGGCTGGGAGGCTAAGCTGGCCCAGAGCTCGCCTTCCAGGCTGGCTGCCCGATCCTTCCCTCCACCCTCAGACCACTCCCTCTCTCAGAGCATCCAGACACCCTGGAGCCCAGAGCTGGGCTCACACAGGACCTCCAGCCCCTCTGGGGGGTGGGTCCTAAGGCCACTTTCACCTGGCCCAGGCCAACCCGGAACCCTGGGATGACTTCCTGATCCTCCACACCTCTCCAGACCCCACCCATCCTTCCAGGCAGGGCGCATCCCTTCCGCTCCAGGGAGCTGTCCAGCTGCTCCCACCTACAGGTGTCTCTCTCTACTGTCCCACAGCCCCTAGTACCCAGCCCAGTGGTGTGCACACAGTGCCTATGCAGGATCTGCAAGCTAAGGCCGCTAGGGACGGGGACAGAGGGCAGCTGAGTGAGCAGGCCCAGCTCCGGGCAGAGTGACTCTGACTGTTATCTCCACGGAGCCTATAAAGCTCTTGTCGGAAAAAGTCCTCCTGTCACCAAGGAGAGTGCAGAGGCCGCACCCCAACACGGCCACACTGGACATGGCTCTGACTGTTCTCCAGCTCCAGGAGCTCCCTGAGGACACTCGAGACCTCTCTGCCTGCCTGCACACAATGAGCCCCAATCCTCACCAGTCCTGCAGCTTCAGGATCCCCAAAGCCAGAGGCCCTGCTTGTGCGGGACTCAGACGGCGCAGGGTCTGTGCCAACGTCTCCCACAGGCCACAGTCAGAGGAGCTCAACACGGGAGAGCTGCAGAGAAGGACCCGGGAGAGAGAAAATCACAACTCTGTCCCGGGCACCAAGGCCCAGCTCGGATGGAAGGCCCCGCCTAGGTGTGCGGGCCTTCAGATGCCCTCCAGGGCCCCTCGATGAGGTGGCACTCTCGGGAGCCAAGGGGACGGGCCCCAGGTGCAGCAGCCGCGCCCCCTCCACCCGCCCCCAGCTGCGCCCCGGGGAGCTGACCGGGCCACGCTGAGGAGGAGGTCCACGAGCGAGTGTGCGGCTGGGAGGGGGTCTTCCTGAAGCAGACAGGCCACGAGGGGACTCAGCCGCTCCCAAAGGACCTGCATCCAAGGGCCATGGCAGTGCCCAAAGGTAGTGGTCAGGACGTTGAGGGCCTGCGTGACCTGCGGGGTGGCCATAGAGCGCAGTGATCCTTCAATGTGACCCACGATCTTCTGGGCACACACTGGCCAGTCACAAGCCTGCGGGCTGGGGGGTCCCTCAGCTGGGCCTTGCAGGGACAGGCCCAGGATGTGCACCAGGAGCTGCCCGGCGGCCGAGGCCACAAACAGGCTGGAATCTCCCTGCAGGGAGAAGATGGTGTCAAGGGTACCTGGGGGTGGACAAGGGGTGAGGAGAGAAGAACACAGGGATCAGCTGGAACGGCATCGGAGGCAGACAGCAGAGATGCTAAGACCACTGAGTGGCTTTAAGCTGGGACTTCAGAACCGCAGGGGAAGGCCGATTGCAGGAGGCACCCTCAGAGGCCCCAGCCTCCCCTCTGAGCAGAGGCAAGGGAACCACACCGGAGTTTCACGGGGTGAGCAGCTTAGACCCTTGGAAGCTTCTGATTCCTTCCAATTAGTTTCACGGCCACCCTAGCTGCTGGGTCTGACCTATGAGCCAAAGGCCACTGTAACACCCTCGAGGGGCCTCTAACCCCCATCACCCCGTGAGCTCCTCACAACAGCCCTGTGAGATCATAGACAGTTCTACAGATGAGAGCACGAGGCCCAGCAAGGTCCAGTGCTTTCCCTGGGGCACACAGCATCAGCCACAGGGGGCCACAGATGGCGGGCAGGGCGGGCAGGGCACTCACCGCAGTCGGCCAGGAAGGGCAGGGCGCTGGGGTGCTGTGCCAGTGAGCGCAGGCCCTGGATCCAGCCGCTGCGCACGGTGGGGGCGCTCCAGGCTGCCTGGCCGAGGGGTCCGGCCTCCCCAAAGAGCCCGGGCAGCAACTCTGCCTGCTGGGAAGCAGAGAAGGAAGCGGTGACGCGGGCCTGTTTGCAGGGGACAGGCAGATCGGGGACGGCCGTCCTGTTGAGGCACTTGGGGAACTTTCTCATGCGCTGCTGATACAAAGAGCCCCCACACCCGCGGCAGCTGTGCTTTGGGGAGGTGGTGGGTGGCCACCAGCGCCAGCCAAGGGTGGCCACAGCACCGTCAAGTCTGCCTTCAAGGGGACAGAGCTTTGGGAGAAGGACAGGGTTTTAAGTAAAGGCCCATCTATCCTGTTACCGCTTATTCAGAAATCATCCCCCCACAACAGTACCACCAGCTTCCCTGCCAACGGCCCACCTCTGACCGTGAGATTCTGAACTCGAGGACCCCAGTGGTCCTCCAGGGCCTACTGGACTCCTGAGCCTGGCACATGGGCCTGTCAGCACCCACCTCCTCCAGGCGCCCCCCTACCCCCGATGCCCCAGCGGGCCTGGTGTGCCAGGCCTGCCCTGCCCCCGCCCACGTTCAAACCCTTTACAACCCAGCTGGGAGTTCAATGCCCCCGTGAAGTCTACCCACTGGCTGGCAGCGGCTAACCCCCCACTCAGTCCCCACAGGGTTATGGACGTCCATGGTCACACATGCACGCTGTCCTACGTTTCCCGCCATGAGCAGGAAACCCCGGTGCCACCTCTTACTAACAGAGCCCTCACTGGTGTGGTTGTTTGCTCTGAGCCTTGCCCGTCTCCACGGTGGAAATGTTGGGCAGAGCCCGTGCCCAGGGCAGGCCAGGCCTTGGGACATCCTGTTCAGCTTCGTCTCACTCTCAAGGGACAGGAACGCTCCAACCATCTCAGACTCCAGGCTACAGGACATAGGGCCTTGGAGACACGCTTACAATCGCTCCAGGCTAGACGTCTACTCTACAATGGCCGTGAGCCCCGGGGGTGCTGCTGCTGGCGGCTCCCCGGGGAGCCCTCTGCGGGATCTGCTGTCACCTAAGGACCCTCTCAAAGTGACAGCCCCTCCCTGGGGTAGCTCACAGCCAATGGGAGCCCTCAAGTAGACTGCGGGCACGTCCCCTGCCCAGACACTGTGCACTGCAGACAGGGCCAGTGCTGGGCAGCTGGCTGACGAGGGGCTGCGAGACCACCTGGGAGCCTGTGAAGAAGCGGGTGAAAAGGGGACGGGAGGCTGACCCCGTGCTGTGGGCCCCGGAGAGAGGAGAGCAAGCTTTCCCCACGACTCCGAGCCTGGAGCCCTCGTCCCGGCACACGGGGACGGACCACCAGACGGGGGGGCAGCCAGCAGCCTTTCCAGCCCCCAAGGCCCGGCGGCCCCAGGGAAGGAAAAGGAGGAGATGGAGAAGCAGGGATGGGACAACAAAGTCCCCAGGAAGCCAACACAGCAGGAGGAGCCACGTGCTGGGGACCAAGAATTCGCTCTCGGAGAAGCAGGCAGTGGACAAGTCACGCAAACGGCCAGACTTCCAGCGTTCAGAGTGGGCTCCGCCAGATCTGCGGGGTCCTCACGCTGAGCCCTCCGTTCCCTTATCCAGGAACCGGGGACACAGACTCCTGGTCTGCTTACTGGCCGCAGCTTCCAGGATAACACGAAAGCGATCTTGCAAACTCTGAAGTGCTTTATAAACTGCAAAACACCACAGGCCAGGCGGGATCACCGCACGGGAGGACAGCAAGCACACAGTTACGCCCTAAAACACACTTCAGTGTAGCGAGGCGACAGACAGGATCCCAGAAAGGCTGTCCCACAGTGGGCTGGCGCTGGGCTGCGTCCCCAGAGCCTGCACGGCTGAACTGAGGAGCACCCGTGATGGCATCCCAATGGCACTGGGAGGACACATCCCTCCCTCCTGCTGTCCTCTCTCCCAGAGGCTCCGTCACAGCACGGCCTCCCCGGGGCTCTTGGCACAAGGGGTCAGAGAAGGCAGGCGTGCCTCCACGCAACCTGGCAGGGCTGTGAGGTGCCCAGAGACGCCATCGCTGTGACTGGTAGGGCCAGAGAGGCCGGCATCAGGCGTCACCTCGTGAGCCCAGCTGGGCCCACGCAGGGGTGTGGGAAGCTGCACGACACACAGCTTGGGGGGCTCCACGCTCCCATGCCTTGGGGCTATGTAGAAATTCTCAGGAGTCATTCACTCACCCAACAGGCTATGTGCCAGACTGGGCACCTGGTTAATCCTCACAACACCCATGGGACACGCACGATCTCCTCTCCGTCACAGGGAGAAACCGAGGTCAGGGGACTCAGGGAGGCGGGCGAGGCCCTCCAGCGGGTTAAGCGTCAGAGCCGAACGCACCCCAGTTCCGTCTCATTCCAAAAAGTTCACCCCTCCACCCAACGTCACTCCCAGTGGGCTTTCAAAGGGGCTCCCTCTCGGGAGCAAAACCTTGCGGCACACTCAGACGCAGGGGCAAGGCGCGTCTCAGAGACGGAGGGACCGTGACAGCCACCCCTGCTTTACGGGCCTGCAGGGGAAGAGCCGTGCGCCCCTTGGCGGGTCACGAGGTGGGAGGCCCAGGCTCACCTGAAGATACTGGAAGCAGCTCTCCTGGGCCGCAAACACCCCTGCGAGGCGGAGGGAGAAGGAGAGGACTCTGGCGCTCAGGCCCTGGGGCTTCAGCACGTGGCACAGCAACTCCACCAGGCAGGGATTCTCCTGCAGCAACTGCAGGCTGGACCCTGGAGACAGGCCCAGCCGGGGGGCATGTCACCGGGGGCGCACCGCTGCCCGTCTGCCCGAACGACTGCTCTTCTAATGACTCCCAGGCCCCTTCTCTCTCCAGCTGTGAGATTTCCCGTCTAACTGGGAGAAAACGCTTGCAGCGAAGGATTCCTAACTGTCACTCCACGACGGGGGACACGCCAGAAAGCCAACACTTCCACAACAGGGAAAGGATGGGGACAGGAAATATAAACGGCCGACAAACCTGAAAAGATGCTCTGTCTCACCCATTAGAAAAAAGGAACACATTAAAGCAGGAGACCATTTTCACCTCTCCAGTGCATACTTTTTTCTTAAACCGAGAGTACTTGACGCGAGAGTACCTCCCTTCTAGACCTGGCATCTAACATTTCTACACTCACCCACGCTGTCGTTCAAAAGCACCGATGGGGGGAAAGGCGGGGAGAGCTTCCACGGAGAGGCTGGTGCTCAAAGAACTACCAAAGAATACGGCTCAGTCAGAAGGAAAAAGGACAGCGTGAAGAAGAGAGAAGCAAGAGGCAGAGACCAATAAACACGTGGGAAAACCCAGATAGGCACTGACTTCGAAAACTAACAATAAATAACTTTTGAAGGGTTTTAAAACAAGATAGAGGGGCCGGCCCGGTGGCACAGTGGTTAAGTTCGCACGTTCCGCTTCGGCGGCCTGGGGTTTGCCTGTTCAGATCCCGGGTGTGGACATGGCACCGCTTGGCAAGCAATGCTGTGGTAGGCGTCCCACATATAAAGTGGAGGAAGATGGGCATGGATGTGAGCTCAGGGCCAGTCTTCCTCAGCAAAAAGAGGAGGATTGGCAGCAGTTAGCTCAGAGCTAATCGTCCTCAAAAAAAAAAAGAAGATAGAATCAAGATACCAGACACAAAAACCTGGAACATTGTGCTGGGCTTGGAATGCTCCAAGATCCTCACATTGAAGACACTCGAGCTGTCGGACCAGAGGATGGAGATGCTAACGCACTTCCCACTGTTTTTATCCAGTTTGCTTGTAAGGGTACCCTAAAGGACATAAGTGAGATGCATAACTTCAAAGCCAGAAGAAAGATTAGAAAAACAAAAGCTTTATCAATCCAAAGAGGGCAGATAAGGAGGAAAAGGGAGCAAAGACAAGGCATGGGAAATTAAAAAAACACAAAAGAAAGTGGTGAAAACAGGTTCAGACATAACAGCTCCCAAATGAAACAGATTAACCTGTCTGTTAAAAGAAAGAGCCGCTCAGATTAAATTAAGAACCAAAGGCCAGCAACAGTCTGTTTCTAAGAAGCGATGAAGCTTGACAAGGCAGAGAAGCCGAGAGTAAAAAGATACGTAGGCAAATCCTAATTTTGGAAAAGCTGCAGCAGCAAGAGTAATATCAGATAGAACTGACTTCAAAGCAAAGAGTGTTACCAGTGCTTTAGAGAGAAAGTCACTGCTCAGAGATAAATCTCAGAAGACAGGAGTCCGAGCCTGCAAGGACCTAACCCAACCTCAAAGTATACAAAGAAAAACAAGACAGAATTTCAAAGAAAAACTGCTGACTCTGCAATCTTAGTGTAAGATTTTTACACATCTCTCAAGAACAATTAAGTAAATAAGTGAGCAAGAACAGAGCAGGCTTGAACACAAACTTGAACGAAGGAACTTGTGTGGAGACCACGTTCCTCCATCAGGTAGAACTTGAAGGAAAACTGAGTACACGCTGGGGCAGGAGGGAGCAGAGATTAACTGCTAACGGGCACTGGGCTTCTTTCAAAGGGCTGAAAATGCTGCAAAATTAGATTGCGGCGATGGTCGCACAACCTTGCGAATTTATTAAAAACCATCGAATTATACACTTTAAGTAGGTCAGTTCCATGCTATGTAAATCATATCTAGAATAAAGCTGTTTAAAAATAATTTTTAAAATTTGGCTACAAACTAGGCAACAATTGAGCCTTACAAATACCAAAAAAAAAATACCAGATAGTGAAATCTATAGGGCACTGGCAAAAACTATCTGCATACTAAGCTGCAATAAAAACCTCAACAGACATAAAAGAATCAAAATACAGATGTTTTCTAATTCCAATGAAATAAATTAAAAACCAATAATAAAAAGACTGAAAAAACCTCCATATTGTGAGTCTAAAAGATACCCTTTTAAATAATTTGTGGGGGTGAGGCCAGCCCAGTGACGTAGCAGTTAAGTTTGCACGCTCCACTTCGGGGCCAGGAGTTGGGATCCTGGGCGTGGACCGACACATTGCTCAGCAAGCCACGCTGTGGCAGCGTACCCACATATAAAGTACAGGAAGACTGGCATGAATGTTAGCTCAGGGACAATCTTCCTCAAGCAAAAAGAGGAGGGCTGGCAACAGATGTTAGCTCAGGGCTAATCTTCCTCACCAAAAAAAAAAAAAAGAAAAGAAAAGAAAGAATCTTTTAAAAAAGATAATAAATAAATAAATAATTTGTGGGTAAAGAAAAATCGTTACGAAAAGCATGAAATATCTGGAACTAAGTTACAATAAAAATACCACATAGTAAAACTTGCAGGGTGCAGCTCAAGTGACACTTTCAGAGAACTGTGCAGCCTTCAATGCATATTTTAGGAAACAAGAAAGACTGAGATATTCAACTCAAAAAGCAAGTAAAAGAACAGGGTAAACCAAAGTAAGTAACAAACAGCAGAAATTAATGACAAGGCATCTACCCTAAGGCAATTATCAGCCAAGAGGACAAACACTTACACAAGAAGATGTAGGCACAAAGAAAGCCATTACAGCATTATTTATAACAACGGAACATTAGGAATGTATGTAAAAATAGTGGAATGATTGTATAAATTACGGTCCATTCATACAGCGAGTGGCACATAGTCAATAAAATCAACGTGTTCCGTGGGGAAAACACCCACTATAACGGTAAGAGAGAAAAAGCAAGACATCAAATTGTATTTATGCTGCGATCTCATTTTCATAAGAAAAACACAGCTTCGTGCTGTGTTAGGGAAAAAGGCCGGAAGTAAATAAAAACTTTAATGGTGGTTTAATTTTCCCCTTCACCCCTCTGTGTTGTTCAAGTTTTACTTAAAGAATATGCGCTACTTTCATAATCAGAAAGGAATGCCGATTTCTTAAAACAAACAAAAGAACGCAATGAGAACAACAAGGTAAGTTTGTCCGTGCCTTCTGCAGCCATCTAACACGAACTGAACAACGGGAGACCTGCATCAAGGCTGGAATCAGCTAAAAACTTCAACCTCAAGCTCTCTTGATCATTCCCTCAGGCTGTAGCTTGATGCAATTAGGCGGGAGGAACCTTCAGGATGTGGAGAAAGGACACCAGGTGGACACCGCTTCCCCAGGACAGGGGAGCCCCGAGCACCCTCTGGCCACCGGGGAAACAGTCAAGAGCAGCACCCTCACCCTTACCTGCTTCAGTGATCGTTTTAAACCAGTCCAGCAGCTTCTCCAAACAGGTGTCATCTGCCACCGGCTGCCTGGGGTCTGCCAGAACAGCACAGAGAGCCGGGAGGAGCTGGGAGCACTCTGGGTCCATGGTGAGGCTGGAGATTCCTACAAAGGAAATGTCAGGGCCAGACCCCACCCGCCCTAGTCACAGTCAGTCCCCACGCCTGCTCAGGCCCCAGAACTTTCACCTCAGGCCAGGCGGCTGGAAAACAACTCTCGGAGAGAAGCTCCAAGCTGCCAGGATGGATGCAAAGCCTCAGCCAGGGTGGGGCTGGAGGGGGTCAAGAGTAAGCAGGGCCGAGTCCTGGCCACCCTAGCTGGAAAGGAGTCCGGTGTAAACCATGAGACCTCAGGAGCTCAAAGCCTGCCAACCTTGGGCTCTGGCGGGAGGAGAACAGCAGGATGCTCACCTAGGCTGCGGGGCCAGAGTCGGGGGGGTGTGTGCGTCCTGGGGCCAGCCAGCGCGGACAGAGGAAGAGCGTCTCAGTCTGGGCTGGAAGTGTCTGTCTGTTTTGTCCCTTCTGGGGGTCAGGGCGTCTGCATCTGACAACCCTGCAGCCAGCAGTGTGCGCGGAGGGGAAGGCGCTCTGTCCACTGTCGGTCCCTCCAGGGCCGGGAGGTGTGCACCCGCGTGTCCAGCCTGGAAGGGGACAGGGAAGCGCGTCGGTCCTGTGATCAGGGAGGGCTCTCGCAGGAGGGAAGGGTGGCCAGTGACTCTGTCGGAGTCACGAGTGAGTCTGCCTGGGCTGGGGCATCCATCTGTCCATCCAGGGCGAGGCTAGGTCCCTGCGGAAGGGGCCCTCCCCGTGGAACCCGCCGCGGGTCGGGGCCGCCCGGAGGGTCCAGAAAGGGCCCGGGCCGGTGGCCGCAGTCGCGTCAGGACTCGGCCCAGGCCGCGCGCGCCAGCCGCAGGATGCTCCCCGGCCAGCCCGCCCTGGGTCCTGGTCCCCGACTCCGCGGGACGCGCCACCGCGACCTAGACCCTCTCCGGCGCGCGCCTCACCTGCTCCGCGCCCGTCCGCCGCCGAGGCCCCGCCCCCACCGCCCAGGCCCCGCCCCGACCGCGCCACCTGCCGGGTCTGGAGGGGGGCGAGGACGGGGATGGCCGGTGTGCGGAACCGTGAAAGCCCCACCGTGATGGCCACTCTTGGAGCCCCGAGAGCCAAGACTTTGGAAATGAGCTCAAGCTGAGAGGCTTTGGGGACAGGCCAGCGACAAATCGGTCGCCCCGACCCATCACCCCCACTGGGACTCTCAGTGGTACGTACCCGAGCGTCCGGCGGGCATTGCGCCCGGAAGGCGGGGCTTCTGGAGGAAAGGGCGGGGCTATTCCAGGAAGGGGCGTGGCCTCGCCAGCCAAGGGGGCGTCATACGTTTGGGCGGGCGGGAAGCGCGTGCCGCAACCAGGCGTACTCATCACTGAGCAAAACTCTGGTGTTTTGGCCTCGAAACTGGGTCGTCAGAGGCCTTCAGCTGTGTGCTGGAGGTTCTCAAAGTTAGAGGATAAAAACAAAGCTCATCTTCCCATAGCGTCAGTTTTTCAGCAAGATTTTGGGGGAAACACCATGTATATATGAGGAAACAGCAGGATTTCTATGGGTGTTACAAAAAGAAACTTTAAGAACATTGACTTCGTTGGGGGAACCACTTGGGACAACCACCCTCCCTGATACACACACACACACACACACACACACACCCTTAGAACTTTTTGGGTGAAAAGATTTGAACTGCACAGTTCTCTTCCTGGACTTGTGAGTCCTCATTGTAAAAATGAGTATACTAATATTTGCCTGATTGGTCAGTTGTGGGGAAAAAACATCTTACAGTGGCACTATGCTAACTCAGGTGATTCTGCAGCAACTCTGGGAGAGTGGGTCCTATTACCACCCCTTCAGATGAGGAAACTGAGGCACAGAGAGGCAGCCTCCTCAGGTCTCACAGCTAGTGGGCTGGCACAGCTTGGAACCAAGCCCAGGTATTCTAGCTCCCCAGTTGAATACTACGTTATCCAGGTCCACCATTTCTTACCTGAAACTTTTGGGGACAAACGGCTCAGAATTCAGAATTGTTCAGGTTTTAGAAAAGTTACCTGGTACACATACACTCTATATGAGATTGCAATCCCAGCAGGGGCTGACGCAGCATGCCACATTCAAATGCATGAACAGTTCTGCGGTGAAATATACACTGCAAGTGGAATAAATAAACACTATAAATAGCCTCAGCTCAGATTTTTGTTGACAAATGAGTTGAGGTCGGAACAGGTTTTTCAGAGCGGCAGATAAAAGGCTGTGGACATGTACTGTCTCTATAGTTAAAGGAAAGACAGTGACACAGCAGAAGCAGGAAGGACAGGATGTGTGGAGAGCTCCGGAAGTGGGAGAGGAGCAAGAGGTACATGTACATAGGTAGTTTTGGCATCGAAAGCCCTTGCCTGGCACGTGGACAACACCCCCAGAAAGCAAGCTGAAGCTGGTAAGCAGGTGAGTGGCCTGGTAAGAGGTGCCTTTTATAAACGACTGATGGGTGAGACTACAAAACCCAGGCTCCTGACGCTAACCAGCTCAGTTTTCCCTGCTGGTGAGGAGACAGCCGGGGAACCCCCCCCCCCCTCCCCCAGGGGCAGCTCAGCCCGTTTTGTGACGATGAGGAAACTGACGAACAGAGGGCCATGGACCCTGCAGTAGGTGTTGGAGGTGGAACTAGAACACTAATAACCTGACAGGTGTTCCTTCTGCTACACCACCGACGAGAGGACTCGTTCATTCGTTCACCACATAGTAACAATTACACTGTCACATTGCACTCACTCTGGAAAGGGACAACTGTACAGATATTGACTCATTTGATCCTCACAACAACCCTTTTTTCCACTCTATGTTCGAGGAAACAGAGGTACAGAGAAGGGACCTGACTCGCGGGATAGCCACTACCCATTGATTGAGCACCTGTGGTGTGCCAGACCCTGTTCCAAAGGACGGAGATCCAGCCGTGAGCAAAGCAAAGCTCCTGCCCCAGAGAGCTTACATTCTAGCCATGGAATGTTCTTGCAGAGAATAAATTTCAGCTAGCTGGAAAAAATAAGCAGGGTGAGGGGGACAGAGCAGATGCCCTTGGAGACCTGGATGAAGAGAAAGAGCAAATTCTACTTGCTAATAATAATTTAAATGAACTTTGGAGCCCAGGGCGCCTAGAGATCATGATACACATTGAGTGCGATGCAAACTTTTCTTCTGTCTTGCTGTCCCGTGGCTAGATCAGAGCCCTAAAGCCCAGGATAGAGGTCAGGGAGGGTAATTTTCTGAATGCCAGGCGTCCAGAACTAGCAGCCTGCGACACTGCACCAGCCCCTTGTCCCTTTCAACGTCAACCTAATAAAGACTTGTTAACGTCCTGCGCTGGTGACCAGCTCCCAGCCTCGTCGCGGAGCCTGGAGGAGCGAAGAGCCTGGACGCAGACTCCGTAAGCTGCTCAGCACCGCCCCCTCCGCGGCTCTCCGCCCCCGCACCTCCGGGCGCGCTGCGGGTCGGCCCGCGGGTACCGCCGCGCACGCGCACGGTCGGCCCGGCTTGGACGGCGCCCGCCACATCCGGGACTCCGCGGCCCGGCGCCGTTGCCATGGCAGCGGGGTCGCGGCCGGCGCGCGGGCATTCCCTGAGGCAGCGGGCGGCCGGGGGCTCCGCGCAGCCCCAGAGCCCGACAGCAGCGCCCGCAGCGCCGAGGGGGCGGCCGGCCAGCGCCGCCGCCATGTCGCTGGGCCCCGGAGAGTCGGCCTCGGAGACGGTAAGCGCGGGCGGGCGGGCCGGCCTCCTCGTTCCCCGCGGCCGGCCGGGCCTGCGGGCCGGAGGCGGGGGCGCAGAGCCGGCGGCCGCCGGGTGACAGCTGCCATTATTGTTACCGCATAAGAGCGGACCTCGGGCCCCCGCCAGCGTGCGGCCGGCATGGCGTCGCCGCCCCCCCGTGCAGCCTCCAGCCGCCTCTAGACCCCGCCTGCCCCTTGCGCAGGCCGCCGCTTCCGGGAAGCCCTCCCGGACCCTGCGTCCTCCCCTGGGCGCCTGAGAGGCCGGGCTGCGACCGCGGCCCGCGCGGTGACCGAGCTCACTGCGTAAGTGTCCGCCCACCCCCTGCCTCCAGGGCCCGGGACGACCCCGAGTCGGGTGTGAGGGAGGAAGCCCCAGGCTCTGGGAACAGGACCCTGCCTGGCACTGATCAGAGAAGGCTTCCTGGAGGAGGTGCCCGCTAAGGTTACTCCCTCCGATCAGGGCGAGCCGGCTCTCAGCTCGTTCCTTTGCCGAGCGTTTTGGGTGCGCCTTCCTGCTGGAGATACCGATGCGGATGTGTAGGCTTGCATTCCCATAGAGCGAGGGTGTAGGGGGCAGAGGACAGGCAATAAACAGATCACTAAGATGTCAGGAGCGTGCTGCGGGGAGAAGAAAACAGGCCCCTGTGAGGGAGGGGGGTTGGGGAGGGCTGCTTTAGATGGGGTGCCCCGGAACAGCCCTCTGAGGGGCTCACACGTGCCCTGATCTCATGGACAAGAAGCAGGCAGTCTGGTAAAGGTCAGAGAGCAGAGGGACCAGCCAGTGCCAAGGCCCTGAGGTGAGAAACTGCAGTGTGTGCCAGGGCCCCAGAGAAAGCTTTCCGGGATCTGTTAGGGGCAGGGGGACCTGGGTGGAAGGTGGGCATGGGCCTGACCACGGAGATCTTTGCAGGCCATGCAAGGAGTTTGAATTTATTCAGGACACAGCGGGAGGCCTTTGCAGGGTTCCAGACCGAGGGAACGCTGCTTCCTTCTCCCCGAGCCCGCGAGTGCTGAGCCGGGCGTGCACAGTTCACCCAGAGCAGGGACTGACTCAGTGCTGCTGGCAGCGGGAGCAGGTGAGGTTTCCTCCTTGTTCCTCAAGGCTCCGAGTCCTGCCTCCCCTGGGAGGCCTGGCACCTGCACGGGCCTCAGTTCCAGCTCCTTCATCTTTACAAAGTGGCCTCTCACGTTGTGACTGTAAAAACAATTCATGCCCATTAGAGAAGATTTGGAAAATTAATTACCTGTAATCTAACTGCCTGCAGAAAACCGGTCTGACATTTCCTTCCAGTCTTTTCGCAGTGCATCTTTTTTCCATACCCTTTTTAAAACATTGAGATCGTATTTGTATTGTTTAGTAGTCTTTGCCGATTAGTTTGTTGTTAGCGTTTTCCCATATGCACACATTTTCTAGAGCATGATTTTGGACACTCTGACCTGTGGGGGCCCCTGTTTCACTTCTCCATTCCCTGCATTTACCCCCTTTGTTTTCACTTTTCTGCTGTTAGAAGCAGTGCTGCTGTGGATGTTCTCACACGTGAGCATTTGTTAAGTTCTTTCCGCATGTCGGGCTCTGAGGACGCAAAAACAAGCTAGTCCCGCGCCCGGGTCTGCAGGCTCGAGGGAGAACTGGAGCCGTGCTCTGGGCGTTTAGGAGCCTCTCAGCCGTCGGCCTGCTCTCTGCTGAGCGTGGCTCTGTTCTAAACCAGGCAGGAGCCTCTGGAGGGCAGGCACTGTCCAGGCCGTTTTCCTGTTTAAATCTTTTAGCCGGACTACCTAGCGGTCACCCCTGAGTCAGCAGAGGCCACTTGTTGGTCAGAAGTTGTGTGTAAGCCCCTCAGCCAGTCAGACTTACCCTTTACCATTGCATGTGTGCGTGTTTGCGCGTGTGTGTGTGGGTGGGTGGGTGGCTCGGGGGCTACCATCACAGTTCAGGAGTTTGTGGTTCTGCCCACCGTGCAGCTAGGGGCTAGTAACTTGGGTTTTCCCTTGGCCGTCTCTCCTGAAAGGGCACCCTCAGACGTGCCTGTGGTCCTCTGGGCTTCCAGGGATGTGTGTGGTTTCATCCTTAGGCCTGGTTTCCTCGGAGCTGCTCTTGGGTCAGAGCAGTTGATTGTTCAGCCAGTGTTTGGTCAGAGGTTGTGCCGAGGCCCCAAGGCCCAGTGGGACTCGGACTCACGCCCTTCCTGAGCGGGTGCAGTCCAGCGCTCGCAGGCAGCCTCCCTGACCCTCAAGGTTGACGGTGACCCCAGGAAGGCTCTTCTGGGCCCTGTTGGCCTTCTGGCTGCCCTGCCGGTTCACTTTCCACTGCCCCGATCCTGGAGCTAGGAGGGCCCTGCAGGTGCTCCCCGCCAGGTCACCATTGTCCTAGTTGGTGGAATCGGGGAGGGGTGGAGTTCTCCACTCTCTATGCAAATAAAGTCCGTCCCTGGGGCACAGCTGTTGGTCTGTCTCTCCCCCTGGGAAGGACCTCTGTGCCACCACGCAAGAACTGGCGCAGGGACAGTGCTGCGCTTCTCCTGGAGTGACACTCCGCCTGGGCCTGCTCCTCCCTGCGTGCAACCTCTCCTACCAGCACGCGGGGGTGGGGGCGTGGGGACCCAGGAGTCTTAACCTGCCGCCTCTGGGAGCTTCTGGGAGCTGGCTGGGGGACCACAACCCCACCAGCACCCCTGTCGTCTCGGTGCACCCACCTGGCGTGGAGCTCTCTGGAGAAGTGTCTGTCAGACAGAGCTGGCAGGGCGGGCGCCCCGACTCTCACTGTGCTTCCTTGGCTTAGGGGATGTTCTTGAATTAGTCTTTCTCCATTGCTGTATGCCCTTAGTTCAATTTCTAGAAACTTCCAGTGATTGACTGTTTTATAGCTTTCTCTGGTAAATGGTGGTTTGCTGAGGAGACAGTCTTCCAAGCTCTGCGCCCACCGTTCTGGAAGAGGCTCCTGGGGCGTTGCTGTCCTTCCTGACTTGTTCCACACACCAAATTCCTGTGTGTCCCTGCATCTCTTTCTGGGCTCTGTCTTTTTTCCCAGTGTTTTAGTTTGTTTATATATGTGTTTAACGCTTTTAAAAATTTGGTAGGAGAACGTGTGCCCCTTTGTCAATGAGGAAGCTGAGATTCAGAGGGGTCAGTGGCATGACCAACATCACACGGCTGGCGTGGAGCCACTCCTGGCCGTCTTGAACTCCCCCCAGCGACTGCCGGCCGGCCAGAGCCCTGCCTGTTCCTGACACACGATGAATAGGTGCATCTAGTCTGGAAACAGGTGGCAGCTCGAACAGTACTTAGAGAAGGAGGAACGAATGGACCATCACTGGGTTTTTTGTGTGTGTTTTTTTTTGGTGAGAAAGATTGGCCCTGAGCCAACATCTGTTGCCAATCTTCCTCTTTTTGCTTATGCCTTAAAATGTCACCTGTTTAGTGACATCAGAAATCTAGGACAGTGGCTGATGTTTTTAAAGATTCTGTTTATTTGGAGCGCAGTACCGTCCCCTCGTCCCTCAAATCGAGTCACGCCGCGCTTGTAATTGGACACTCCGTGTTCAAGAGGCGTGCGAGTGGAGGGCGCCCGATCGTCACGGTGGCAGCTCATCCACGTTGTGGCGCAGCCTTACAGTTCTAGTAAAAATTCAAACTGCCCGCAGACTCGTTGCTTCACATGCTGATGGTTAACCTTGTGGACGATGTGTGTGCTTTTCAGGAAGCAGTGAAATCCCCCCGTGGTGCCATGTGGGTTCACCTGTGCCACACACAGCTCGCCGGCACACCGCCACCTCCCCCCGCAGACAGAGCGCTGTGGCTCAGAATAGAGGCGTTCGGTCCTCACTTCCAGTATCGGCATCATAAGTCGACTCTACAGTATTTTGAAGGCATTTTAAAAGTTTTTCTGCTTCCTCTTTTTTTAGGATTTAGACTTGAATAAGTGGGTTAACACAGAGAACTTCTAGGGGCTGGCCCCGTAGCCGAGTGGTTAAGTTTGCGCGCTCTGCTTCAGCGGCCTGGGGTTTCGCCAGTTCGGATCCTGGGCGTGGACCTAGCACCTCATCGAGCCGTGCAGAGGGGGCGTCCCACAGGCCATGACTAGAAGGACCCACAATTAAAATATGCAGCTATGGACTGGAGGGCTTTGGGGAGAAAAAGGAAAAATAAAAAATAAATAAAATCTTCAGGAAAAAAAAAAGAAAACTTCTTCCCTTGGGGAAGTCCCCTCTTGCTGACACCCTGGTACTGCCGTTAGACGGAGCGGATTTTATTTCACTCCCTGGGCTGGGGCACGTCACTGCAGCAGGAAGGAAGGAAACTTTGTAAGCCCAAATAATGCGTGTGTTAATGAATGTGTGTTTTTAATGACTTTGACTTGTTCTTACCAGGGTACCGTCACAGATTCCTTGTGCTTTGATGCGAAGGGGAATAAGAGAACATTTAAACAATGTGAAAAATGAAATACTTTTATCGAGAACTGTTTCTTTATCGAGCGTGCACAGCAATTCTGTGGAGATGCTGTCGCTACATTGACAGCCCGGGAGGGATCCTACTGGGAGGAGTTTTTTTTTCTGTCCCCCACCCGTCCCTTCTGCAGTGACTGAACAGGCTGGCCGCTGCCCGAGCGGCATGTGCAGGGTCTGCTCCGCTGGTCTTGGGTTTCCGCCTCGGCGGCCGTGCGCAGCTGGCTTCACTTTGTAAGCAGGGCCGCTGGGAGCCAAGCAGGAGCCCAAAGGTTTCAACATTTGCGTCTCTTCTTCCAGGGGGATGACAGTCTGTCCGCAATTACCTTTGACTCTGACTTTGAGACGGTGAGTGTGACGGCGAGGCCGCGGCTAGTCCGGGGCTGGGTGCTGTTCCCTGCACTTCTACCTGCACACGCACAGTGGGTCCTTGCCCACACGTGCCATGCTTAGAGCTGCAGGAAGAGCTCCAGACGCTGCTCGGCGTTTGGGAAGTTTCAAGCCCTCAGTTGGGTGTGCAGAGCTGTGGTTATAATCTTACAATGTTTATCCAGAGTTAGTCCTGAGCAGAGGGCAGGTTCCTATCCCGCCTCTGGCTTTGGCCCACACTCCCCCCTCCACCCCCCAATCCTGATTCATCAGGGCGCGAGAAGAGCTCAGGGTGAGGGAGTTGGAAGCCACTGTGGTGGGAGGAAGGAGACCCTTGGGCAGCTGTGGCTCTGGAGGTGCATGATGTCCTGGCCTGGTGGCCCAGCCCCCGTGCTGCTGGGAGCTGGCCTGAAGGGAGAGAGGAGAGCAGGAGTGGGCAGATCCAGGGGTCCAGAGGCAGACTGGCCCCCAGCCTGGCCCCTCTGGGTTTGTATGCAAAGCTGGGCTGGGTAGAAAATGAAGCCACTCCATGTGCATGTGAAATAAGAGCAAAGGAAGCGTGTCTCCCAGCAGATAGGGTTGTAGCCAGACCCCAGCACGGAGCTCTGTGGGGGCCCCAGCTGATCCCCGTCCCGCCTCCGCTCTGTGGCCCCAGGGAGCAGCACGACTCCGCTGTCTGGAGAGGGCCCTCCTCAGAGTTAAGGATTCCCCCTCGGCACCGCTGAGGATGTGGCCCAGGATGCTCCTGGGAGGAGGAGGGGTCCAGACCAGTGTCCCGGGGACGGTTCAGCCTGCACGGAGCGGGTGCATAGCCTCCGCGGATGGGAGGACGGGGCTCTCTGTCCGTGGGAAGCGGGTGAGGAGATAGGGCGGGAGGGCTGTGCATTGCCCAGGCCTGCAGCCACAGCAGGAGAAGCGGTGGGCGCCTGCCTCTGCGTTTGGCACCATGCTTGTCACAGGAGACGGTGTTCCAGGCAGGGTCCTTTCTCTGCTGGACGCTCCCTCCATGGTGGGGTTCGCAGTGGCCTTCTTCACAGGTCTCACGTTGCTGAATCCGCCCTCAGGGACAGTCACAGCCCAGCACCTGGTGCTGGCGGGAGGACAGTTGGGCAATCTCTTCAGGCAGGCTCAGCAGGCGCTCCCTCCTGTGCTTAGGCTGGAGCCACGCAGGCGCTTGGGGCCAGGCCGCCTCAGTGCAGCCCTGACCACATTCCCTGTGGCGCCTCCCGCGCCCTGCGTTCCTTCCTTCACTCAGACTTTGCTTGCGTCTCCGCTGAGCTCATCTCCTCTCTTGTTGCCTTTCCACCCCCTCCAACCCGCTCTGAACACGCCTTGCTTCTTGAGCGCGGCCATTCTGGCTGCTGGAGAAGGCTTAGCGTGCGTTACAGCGTTTCTTCTTTCTTTCAGAAGGCAAAAAAGAAAAGTTTCCGCAAACCTCCACCTCCATCACCAAGTAAGTATGGCCAGCCCGCCGTCCCCCCAGCTCCCACATTTAACCTGGAAAATGGTTTTTAGAACTGTCCTTCCCTGGTGTCCTGGCAGAAAGACCGAGGATGTTTTCTCCTTTGAGCCCTTGGGATCATTGAGACACGACACTTCGCCAGTTGGCTCCATTTGTGTTGGGATCTCGGGAGCACACGCTCCTGGGGTCCCCGCCTTCCCCGTCGTCCCAGTGGTCCTGGTGGGAGGAGTGGGCTGAGCCTCCCGCAGTCACTGCCTCTGGGCCTTAGTGTTTGTTCTCTCTCTCCCGCTGTCTCATCACTTCCCTCTTCAGGATGCTCCTCAAGGCCAGGCCTTCTGTTAAGCTCAGGCTCGTGCCTTGAGATCAGAGCTGCTCCTCTGGGCACTGTACTGAGACGGTGTAGACATTCCAAGACCAGCTGGAAAGTTGGGTTTTTTTCCTTTGGGGATGCCCTGGGCTTATTTTGCTGGCAGGATTCTTCAGTTGCCTGCCCTCAGCAGGAGGAGGGCAGCTCCGTCTGTGGCCCTGGTCAAGCAGGCGGCTGCCCGTCAGGGAGGACGTGGCAGGAGTGGGTCTACTCAGTTCGGGCTGTGGTAACATAGATGGGGCAGCTTCTGAACAGCAGACTTTTACTTCTCACCATTCTGGAGGCCTGGTGCTAGTCCTGTTGGGTTCTGGGGTTGTCCCTCTTGGGTTGCAGACAGGCACCTCCTCGTTTATCTCACTGGTGGAGGGGATGAGACAGCTCTGTGGCTCACTTTTAAAGGGGCACTAATCCCATTGTGTGGTCCCCACCCCATGGCCTAGTCACCCCGAAAGACACATCTTCTAATACTGTCACATTGGGAGTTAGGTTTCAACAGACAGACTTTGGGGGATACACCCATTCAGTCTGTAACAGGTGGGGTTAGTCCAGACGGCGGCCCCGGTTCTAACATTGCTCCAGTGCACGGTGACCCATGTGTGAATTTCACGCTGGTGAATGTCTGTGTGACAAACTTTAAATCCTAGATTGGCTTCCTTTTGCTCCCCAGAAACCTGTGGCCCTCCCTGACGTCATGATATATGCATATATGTATGATTTTATATACATATATACTTCAGACATATTATGTCGAATATATGACACGCTCAGAGAATACAAATGAGCTTTCATAGTAGGGCAAGAAGAGCATAATTAGATAAATTCCTGCAAAGAAAAGAAGCGAGTTTTGTATTACAAATAAATATAAACATTAGAAAGAAATCATCTAGAACTTGGACTTTGGATATCCTTCCTCTCCTTCCAGGGAGAAAATTGAGAATCGATATAAGGAAAAGGTGTGGGTGTTTGTGTTATAAATCTTCTCATTTTAGAACCATTTTGTTTAAGTCCTTCTTGGCTAGAAAGTACCTGAGGTAAATATTAGACCATCTTGCTCTCGTTGGAAGTCAGGCATTTCAAGAGCAATAGTCAGATTCTTTTTATCCTGATTTCTGTAAATGTCAGAATTGGGTCTGCTGTAATTTTGAACGGCCAGAACCCCAGAGCGTTGCAAACTTGAGAGGTGTGGTGTGACTCGGTGGCTGTGCCCTCTGCCCGCAGCCGTGCTGGGCAGCCGTCCCCTCCTGAGCGAGCGCCCTGGGGCCTCTTTGCATGTGGCTTGCTCAGCCCTCTCAGACTGGCTCAGATGTCACTTCCTCGGGTCGCACCCCGTCACCTGCTCCCGTCACGTCCTTCATGAGGCTTGTTCAGCAGGGGTTCTCTCTGGGTTTCTTTGCCGCCAGAGCAGGGACCGTGTCTGTCCTGTCCACTTCATAAGTGTGTTTCTTTAGTGCCTAATCGAGTTCCACGTGGGTTTGAAGTTTCCAGAGTGTCCTGAGATTTTTAGTCCTCCCCGCGCTCTGGGGAGGACGAGGCAGGCGGTGGCGCCTCCGCTCTTTCAGGGTTTCCTGTTTCTAAGGCAGTGTCTGTCACCAGTATATTTCATTCTCCCTTCTTCCTTCCCAGCTTTTATCCACGTGCATGCATGTTTTCCTGAAGATTCTCACTATTCATTGATAAATCACATACATTTAGGAGGGAAATATCATTTGTGGGTCTTTTTTTCTGATCACGGATTTACTTTTATAAGTGAGCTCTTCCGTGGATCTTTAAAATTTGCAGGGCCTCCAGAATGTCCCGGGAGTGGGTACTGCAGTCCTGGGGAGGTGCGAATGCGCCAGAGTCTGATGTGTCTTTATTCCCTCATCTAAATTATAATGGGAAATTTTCCATACATTTTGAAGCCATGGAGAAACTTAGAAATTAAAAACATTAAGTATATTAGACTTAGATTTTGAGGGTCTTCTACAGATATAAATTTCTTTGCTATTTAAGAAATATAAGCATGTTTTGTGAACAACTTAGTTTTCACATAAATTTGTCACATTTTACATAATTAAGGAGCTGAAATCCCAGATTGAAAAATGATTTTAAAACATTTCCCTCATTTTGATGACAAAATCAAAACTGCTCTGGAAAGGTGTAATTTTTTTCTCATTTCTTCTAGATCGGTTACATATTAAGTTCTAAATATTATTACTTATGTCCGTATGTAGCAACATGAAAAATGTTTACAGCGTTAAGTACAAAGGATACAGAATTGTGTGTTCATTATGACCGTGACAATGTAAAAATATGTATGGAATTGAAAACTGAATGGGAAATTAAATATTGTAGTATTGGTAGAATTTTGGATTCATGTTTTTAAATAAATTTCCCATTATGTTATTTCTTTATAATAAAACTTAAAAGACAAGTGTAAGTATATATATATCATATGACAGTGTATATAGGTATAGTGTATATCATAACTGTATCTTTTATTCTTGTCAGAATGTTTTTATCTGGAGTCGTGATGCTCTCGTGACTATTTTATTTTGCTGTTTTTGTCTTTCCAAAGCACATGTGTTGAGAGGGTGTTGATATTTTGCACCTCTAAAACCATTTATTGGCTTTTTAGAGTCACCTTATCACTCTAAGCCAAGAAAAGTGGCATCCTGGCGGTCTCTGAGGACAGCAACGAGCATGCCTCTTGGTAACAGAATGTCGTTGACCCCACAGACGCTGTGGCTGGGAAGCTCAAAGCAAGGTATGTGGCTGCTCCAGCAGAAACCTTTCCTGCCCCGAGGGGGGTTTTAGAAATTGCGGGTGGTGGTCTGAAGGAGAGTTTTTAAGAGATGTTGTGTGGATGACAATGTTTTTGATCTTCTCAAAGACGTCGAGCTCATAGCTTTTACATAACGTGCCAGTGTGGTTCCTGACGGTCCGTGTGTGTGTCACTATGCTCTGGGCCTTCTGCTGTCTTAGCACTGCTGGCAGGGGTGTGTTGGAGGCAGCTCCTACCGGCTTGCAAGAGCCACTTGTTACATTTTTAGGAATTTTGTGAGCTGGTCGATATCACACTGGCAGCTTGCACTTGGACATCGTGGGAACTGTTTATACCATGGAAATGGGCAAATGCTGTCGATCTGGGCTTGCTTTCTTTCTGAGAGCCGGTGGTTGAACATTTGTCAGCACCCTGCTGATGGCCACTGTCAGCTGGTTGACTGAAGCTGTCTTCAACCTCGGAAGATCGGTATTAGAGACAAAACCTGCCGTTGTATTTGCTTGTGCCTGTCATAATAAATCCATGCACATTCAAACCAGGAGGTCTGACCCCACCCCTGAAATCAGAGCTCAGCTTGGAGCACGCATGGACCAGCCCTCCCCGCAGCACTCCCGACTATCTGACAGAAGCTTTGAGAAGGAGGAGGTCAGACCTCAGGCGTTCTGCCAGCAATGGTGAGCACGTTGATGGTGACAAAGCCGTGGCTAAGGAAAAGCGTTGGGACTCCAGGGTGTCCTTTGAGAAAGTGAGACTTCAGGCTTCCTGTGCTAGCTCCATCGGTGGAGATTGTGGAGTGTCCTGAGGACAGTGACTCTGAAAGTCCATTCTGCCCTCCCAGAAAGTGGCTTTCCTAACGTGCACGGTGACATCTTCCCAGGCTTCAATTGTGCCTCCCTCCCTAAACTTAGAGTCTTGTTTAAGTTCGCCATGTAAACAATACTAGAAATGAAATGAAAATTGCAAATAATCACACCAAAAAGAATGGGTTTGTTTTCATGTTCCCGTCTTCCCCTCTGGCCTTTAGCCCTATGCTTTCACTGCTCTTCCTGCAGCCCTCTGTAGGAAGCGTGGGGAAACCTTGTCACTGTCCCCCGAGTTGACCACCTTACTGTGCTCACAGGCTAAGGGCTCTATTTGGGGCTTCAATGTTTGAGAGTCCCAATATGTTAGGCAGCCGTTGAAACCAGAGGCCACTGCGCTGCCGGACCCGGGAATGGGCGTGTCCTCCGCTGTGAGCGCTGGCTGGCTGTGTTTGCTGTTCAGATCCGCACATAGCGCTTCTCCTTTGGACGCCCTTCTGCAGTCCTTTTGCTGCAATGAAGCCCTGTGTTAACGTCTTTCAGTTTTCTCTTGCTTCATCTTTCTACATCACTACCATTTTTAGTTTCCTTACTTTTTGGAAAAGTATTGTGATCAAGCTAAAAAGGTTGAAATATTTTTACTCTTCTTTCTTAAAAGGAAAATTTTATTAACTTCAAGGTGTTCGTTAAGGTGTAGCGAAGAATTTTTTCAGCTTTTCAGATAATCTTTTAAGGGGTTTGTGTGTCTTCCTGCAGGTCACGTTCCTGGGACCCTTGTCTACCGAGAGAAGGAAGACATGTATGATGAGATCATTGAGCTGAAGAAGGTAGTCTTTCTCTCTGCTCTTTGCTGATCTGAAATAGTGCAGGCTTTCTACAACAATGGGTGGGAAGGGCAATATCTTTGCTGGGATGTGTCCGTGTGGAAAGAACATGAGCTTTAAAGAGACACCTGAGTTGAAACACTGGCCGAGGCCTTAGGAGCTGGGGGACCCTGGTTAAAGCGAGGCCTCGCACCAGCTTGTGAGAGGCCTCAACAAAGTTTAGACTCATCTGTGCTCTGCTTCCCCAGCATGGTGGAGGACACTGGGGAAGGACTGGATTAACTTCAGAGTCCCTTTGCACCCTGAGGCTTGACTTTATGATAAGGCCATTTGGTGTCATTATTATCAATAATCTGCTTTTGTGTGATTTGTTAGTGTTAACAAGACATTTCACGTACCTTGTCTCAGTCGATCTCTACAGGAGCTCTGTGCGATAGGTTTCAACTATTATCTGGTGATGATCTTAAGACTGAGAGAGGTTAGTAGTCTGTCCAAGGTTAACCAGTAGCGGGACCAGGATTTCCATGAAGGTCGTCTGCCTCCCAGGGGCAAGGCTCTTTTTGCTACCCCCTGCTGTCTCCTGCTCCCTAGAGTGCAGACTGCATTGAGGTAGATTACCATCAACCTCATCACCTCCACCACCACCACCGTTATCCGCACACTGGTGTTGAATATCCATACATATTCTTGTGCCCTGCAGAGATGACCGGGGTCCATTCCCTTCCGTAATGTTAGTCTGTTTATGGACATGCTGTCTGTGCCAACTGGGCTGCGTCTGGAGGACTGTGGCCCTTCTGGGCACCAGAGGTTAAGCAGGACATTGGCAGTCAGCATGCCCAGAGCATGGCGAGGAGCCGGAAGCCATCTCACCTGAGGATCACAGGGAGAAACTGGGCAGCTGGTACAGGCCCCTGGGTACAAGACGCAGCCCTTCTCTGTCGGTCCAGAGAGGATGCTCAGATCTTAGGTAGGACCAAAAGAATGGTCACCACAGGAGCTGTCTAGCAGTGAAGTGCCGCCTGATGAGTCAGTACACGCCCTTTCCCACAGATTTTAAACAGATGTTGGTTGACTATCCGGGATATTGTAGACAGAATTTTTATTTTGGTTGGGAGACTACTAAATAAACTCTGAGAGTCCCTGAAACTGAATAATCCCCGCCGAAGGACTCTTGGAAGCAGTCTTCTTGGGGCTAGAAATGAGGCTCTGGGTAAAGTTATATTGACTTTATTCAAACTTACCATCGTGGGTTTCTGGATAAAATCAGCTGAGGCGTCTAAATTCAGAGAGAAGAGAAATTTATTTTCAGTACTCTGTGGCTCTGGGATCTTGAGCATCAGAGTAGTTTTTTTTTATGGCAAAGCGATGCCTCAGTTTCCTATTGAAGAATGGGGATGATGATAGTACGGTTTCATAGGGTTGCTGTGGGGATTCAGTAGAGTAACCCGAAAAGTCTTTAGTACAGTGCCTGACGTACAGGGAAAGGTCACTGAGTGTAGACCATTTGCAAAAAACTTATTTTGAAATAATTATAGATTCCCAGGAAGGTTTCAACAATAGTACAGAGAGGTCCCTTGGACTTTTCACCCAGCCTCCCCCAATGGTTGCATCTTACATAACTACAGCGCAGTAGCAAAACCAGGAGACGGACATTGGTACAATGTGCGTGTGTAGTTCTGTGTCATGTTGCCACCTGTGTAGATTCCTGTGACCACCGCTGCTATCAAGACACAAAACTGCTCCATCCACAAAGATCTCTCTCATGCTTCTCCTTCACGGTCAAGCTCAGCTCCCTCCCCTCTAACATCCCTAGCTCCTGGCAACCACTGATTGTTCCCTCCATCGCTATAATTTTGGCATCTCGATAATATTATATAAATGGAATCATACAGTATGTGACCTTTTGAGGCTGGCTTTTTCCACTCATCAGAATGCCCCAAGACACATCGATGTTGTTTCATGTTTCAGTAGTTCTCTCTTCCCAGCACTGCTGTAGCTGTGTCCTACAAATTTTGACATGTTGTCTTTTTTTGATGTATTCTTCACTTTAAGACTCTTTGACTCATGATTATTTGGAATTGTTTAGTGTCTCAGAATTTAAAGTTTTCTGGTTATTTTTGTTGCTGACTTCTAGTTTGAGTCCATTGTGGCCACAGAACACACTCTATATAATCTCATCTCTTTTAAATCTGTTGAGGTCTGCTGTATGGCCCTGGGTGTGGTCCACCTTTGTATGCATTCCGTGGGCATTTGAAGAGAAGGGCTGTTCCGTTGTTGGGTGGCGTGTTCTGTAATGGCAGTTAGGCCCTGTTGGTTGATGGTGGTGTTGAGTTCTTCTGTATGCTTGCTGGTTTTCTGTCTAGCTGTTTCATCAGTTATCGAGAAAAGGGATGTTGAAGTCTCCAACTATAATGGATTTTTCTATTTCCCCTTTCAGTTCCATCAATTTTTCCACATATTTTCACATATTTTACAGCTCTGTTATTTGGTGAACACACATTTAGGATTGCTGTCTTCTTGGTGGATTGACCTTTATAGTCAATATATAATGTCCTTCTCTGTCCTGGTAATCTCCTATTCTCTAAGTCTGCTTTATCTGACATTACTATACATACCCACTCCTGCTTTCTTTTGATTAATGTTTTGATGACATCTCTTTTTCCCTCCTTTTATTTTTGACTTAACCTGTCTCATTATGTTTAAAATAAGCCTCTTCTAGACAGCATATGGTTGGATCATGATTTTTAATCTGCTTTGCCAATCTCTGTCTTCTAACAGGTTTGTTTAGATCGTTTACATTTAATATAATTCTTGCTATGTCTCCCATTTTATTTTGTGCATGTGTGGCCGCATTACCGCTAGGCAGGGAAAGTCCTGGCCCTCCAGTCGGCTCCTCTGACAACCCGCCTCCTCCTCAGTGAGGTGGAGGCACAGCGCCTGCTGCAGCCTGGCCGGTCGAGGTCCAGGCTGCCCACTCAGCCTTTGCTGCAGGGGTGGGGCCCCGGTGTTTTCCGTGGTGTTTGCCTGGGATGCAGCAGTTACTGTCTCTAAGTTTTCTACCTTCTTAGGCTGCCCCTTTCCTGCTGGAGAGAGGAGGCTTTCCTTGTCTGTGCCCATTGGCTTGTCCAGGCCGTTGGCTTCTCCAGCACCCAGTCCAGGATATAGGAGGCGCAAGAGACCTGGAGGAACTCTCTGCACATTGTTCCTTGAGTCCTGAGTCCCTTGCTAGCCTGCCTTCTTCTCTCTACCTTTCTGAGTCTTCTTATGTTTGTCCTACGCACAGTGTCCAAGGTTTTGAGCTGTGCTGAGCAGGGTGAATAGGGAAAAGTGAATGTACTCCATATTTCCCGAAGCAAATTCCCGTGGTTAGACTTCTTGTCTTTCCCAATGACTCTGCACCAACTAACTTATTCATTGCATGCTCATCAAGTGCCAGGAATCTCTCCTGCCCGGTAGGGACGCTGGCGTTCTTGCCAAGTGTGGATATGTGGCTGACATGCAGGCCTCCCTTGGTGGGACACGCACTTTGAATTGTCTTTCCAGTGGTGGGAGCTGGTTTTGCTCAGACACTGTCTCCCTTCTGAGCATGAGTCCTTGAAAGGAGAAGGATGTTTCCAAGATACCTGGCTGGTTAGGATGCAGGCAGATGCTGGAAGCCAGTTAGCTATGGCACAGCAGACCCCTGTGGGCGTTACCCAGCCGGGGCTGTGAGCACTGTTTTAACCTCGTGCTTTTCAGGCTGGGGGGCTCACAGGCTGGGGAGAAGCTTTTTCAGGTGAGGACATTGCAAACGATAATTAAAAATGCCCTACCATCACCGTTTCATGAAAGGACTAGATAAGTCCAAAATAGTAGGAAGGATAGAATTTCAAAGTACAGCATAGTTGTAGAAAGTGAATAAACTTAGTTTTGTGAAAAACTGACTACATAGTCTTTTTCTTCTCAATTCACCACAGATTGCTGAAAAACTGGTCCGCAGATGAATATTGGGGAACCACTGCCCTGACCAACTAGGCCTTAGTTGACAATAAGAATTTTAAATGGACATTAGCCTTTGATGAGTTTTAGTGATCTGTGGTGTGACAGGAATGGACTTTCTCCTGTGGACATGGAGAATATGTGACATTGGCACCTTCCGGAGTTGCTGTTGACGGTGTGGATTTGTAGAGCAGTGTTTCTCCCTGGGGGTACCGTTGGCATGTTGGGTGGCAGAGTTCTTAGTTGGGTGAGATGGTCCTGCACCTAACAGGGCATTGACCCACCTAATCCCCACCCACTAGATGCCAGTAGGGCCTTTCAGTGCCCCTTACTGTGACATCCAGGCCTCCTCATCCCACCGCACATGCAGTGTCCTGACTGGGGACCAGGCAGCTCTTGAAATTCTTCTCCGTTTCATCTGGATGTTTGTGTGTACACTTTGTGTGTGCATGGGTGTGTGTGTGTGTGGTCCTTTTTTCCTTCAGTCGTTACACATGCAGAAGAGTGACGTGGACCTGATGAGGACGAAGCTTCGGCGCCTGGAAGAGGAGAACAGCCGAAAGGACCGGCAGATAGAGCAGCTTTTGGATCCGTCCCGAGTAAGTTGCTGGCTGGGCGGTGGTGGTGGTGCCCCCGCAGGAGGCGTGGGAGCCACAGGCTCCCCTCCTCAGACTAACGGGGGCGGCGGGGGGCTGAACTGCCTATTGTCTTCATGTCTCCATCCACTCACCACAGGGCACGGATTTTGTTCGGACTCTGGCAGAGAAAAGGCCTGATACCGGCTGGGTGAGTATAATCTCCAGCGAGACAGGCAAGCTTCCCACTGAAACCTGGCTTTAGACGCAGCCCGCGGGAGAGATGCCTCTTCTCCACCGCACTCTTACAAGAGGAGGAGCAGCTGTGGAGACGGCTCCAAACTGCCCACCCGCTCTCCACGGAGCCGCGGGGCCTGCAGAAGACGCCTCAGGGCTGGCAGGGGAGTGGGAGAGGCTGAGCAGGCCTGCCCTGATTGCCCCAAGGGCAAAAATGCGTTGTAGAAAAAGTAGTCATTGGGGGACTTCCCCTTCGTGCCTGAAAACACCATCCTTAGCAAGAGGCGCTGACGTACAACAGAGAAACGAAGCAGGAACAGAATAAAGACCTTAAAACACCTACGGATACCTCTCCTATATTATTTAATAACTCGTAACACATCGAATGGAACAAAATGATGGAAAATGGAGCCATTATATGATTAATGCTGTGGCAATAAACTATAGCAGTTGGAGAAAAAGGTACCACAATAAACCTCATATGAGTCAAGGAAGTACATTTTTTTAAAAAAATATGAAATGCTGAAAGAAAACTGGAAAGGATACGATTTTGAGATTATTGAACACAAAGAATAAAATAACATTAATGATATGATTAATGGATTTGATAGCATAAAATTAAAATTTATGATAAAATCCCCTAAGCCTGCGATGGATATCGGATCATGTAGTGGGGAGGCGGAGGACATTTTGATCAATACAAGAGGATTTTCTCTCCAGAATGTATGGCGACTCCATACCAATCCATCAAGAAGAAAGCATTCTCTCTGAATAAACGATCAAAGCCTGGTTCTGTGCTCAGGACAGCGCAAAGTGCGTACTTAACTGCTTGAGAAGGAACCAGTGTGTTTCCACAAGAAAAGTTTTCAGATAATAGCAACTCTTAAATGTTGTGGAGTTGTAAAGTTTGCACATGTACATAGTCTCATTTGATTTCTCGTAATAGGGACTTCAATGCTCATTTTTAAAATCGGGAAACTGAGGCTAAGAGGTTCGCCCAGGTTGGGTTCGTATAAATGACGGTAGCTCTGAAGGCCGGGATGGTGTCTGTCTCCATCCCCGTCGTTCCTCTAGCAGTGAATACTTGAGGGACAGCCCCATCCTGAACTCCTGTGCAAAATAGACACACACGATGATGGGCAGGGCTGAGGAAACACGGCATCCTCAGAACTCAGTCGTTGCCTCGTAAGTTGTTCTGACCGTGCCCAGCATTCGTCTGACACTGCTCGTTTTAGACTATGTCTCAAGGAAAAAATCCCGGACAAAAAGCCTCTGGCACAGGATATTTATAGCTGCTCAATTTGGGGGGAATTGAGAAGCCATTCAAATTGGAATACCGCTACATCAAATACGGTTAGAAAAAACTTTTTAAAAAAAGAGTGTAAAACAGTACAGCTATGTTCAGAAATATCTACATGATTAATTTGGGTGAGGAGGTAGAATTCTGTAAATAATGGGCTCTTTGTATCTTTGTTGTTCTGATCCTGTGCGTGTTTTTTTTTATCAAAGTTGATTGAAAGTAGAAATTCCGGATGACAGGGCACATGCAGTTTTCATTCTAATACCATGGCCAAACCGCCCTTCACAGCGGCTGTGTCCTGGGATTGGACATGTCTGCTTGTCACCACATGTGCTCAGGAAACATCGGGCCACATGCACAAGGAGGACCGGCCGAGGTTTCTATGAGGGAGTGGTTGTGATAGCAAAGACGGCTCACGACTTAAACGTCTGTCGTGGAAGAGCGAGCCACTGCAGCGGGTCTGTTCGTCCTTTGGAGGAAGAGCGTAGGCATACCATACCGGAACTAGCAGGCGTGGCCACCGAGGCGGCTTGTCGATTGGAAGAGACAAGTTGCAGAATGATATGTGTGGTCGGGTACCATTTATGCAAACAATGCTGCCCTTTCAGGGGCATGCGTGCCCACATGCACGCCTAGAATAAGGTCTAGAGAATGCACAGTGAGTGGACCCCAATATTAGTGGACAGGGGTAAGGTCAGAGAGTATACTTTCATCTATAGTGTTTTAAGGGTTTTTTTTACAGGAAACATATTGGTGTATTACTGATATAATTTTAAATTACCTTAAAACCCAATGAAAAAGTAGTTTGGCTATTTAAAAAGAGAGAAAGGGATGTTCTTCCAGGAACAGAGGGTATTATCTCCCACAGTGATACACTAACAGAGAGAAGGGAGAGATGAGGGAGTGAGCGGGTGAGGGAGGTGCAGGACCTCGCCAGGCCTCTGTCCAGCTGTGCGCTGCCTCCCAGGGGAGTGCTGTGGACTGAGTTGTGGGCCAGGTGAGGGTTGTGATTCTCCTATCTGGGGACCGTGCTGGCTTCCTCGACAGTAACTGGTGAAGTGTCTTGTCCATTCTACCGAGCATGGAAGTGATGGAGGGAAGATGGCAGCTTTCGGGCATGCAGACCGTGGCTGCGTGCTGCCCCCTGGCACAGCTCCCCTCCCCGCGCTGTGCGCTGAGTAGGCAGGACGGTGGGCTCGCTCTTTGCTGCGCCTGTGCCCTAGAAGAGAAGCCAGCCCTTAAATGGGGGGGGCGGGGGGGGTGGTGTTAAGGACAAGAGCGCTCCGATGGGATGACATGCGGGGGCTGCCAGATCAGCTGGTAGGGGGCACCTCACCCAGCCTGGGGACGGGACAGTCTGAGTCTCCGGAGGGCGAGGAAGGCCGCAGACGTGGAAACGGTCAACCTGAAGTGGTGGTGTTCTCTTGGCAGGTCGTTAATGGGCTAAAGCAGAGGATTCTCAAGCTGGAGCAGCAGTGCAAGGAGAAGGACAACGCTATCAAGTATGGAGACGTTGGGGGGCTGGCTGTGGGCCGCGGGCTCCAGGGGGCGCCTAGGCCTCGCCCACCTCAGCTGGCCAGGCTGACACGCGCGCCCCTCGTCCTGCCTGTGATTTCAGTATCAGTATCTGCTCTGTTTTCTCAGACCACGGCATTAGTTCCCACCGCCGTCCTCTGTTCCACGTCCCTAGTCCCAGCTTCATCTTCCTACCAAAAAAACGAAAGTAAATATTAGCCGCCTCTTCCCGATGTCACTAAGGAACGGAATTTTCCTTTGGCCTTTCCTGTTCCGGTGACGTTTAAGAAATGCTTTCTGCCCTTAGTCCTCTGTGGATTCCTTTTTCCTCTGGTAGGACGTGTGTGGGTCTCGATACTGCCCGGGTGCCCCGACCTGTCCCCAGCTCTTCTCCGCCCTGCGCGCTCCTGGGTTGGCTTTGATGCGGCCGCACAGATCTCTTTCCTGTCGCTTTAGTGCAGAGGGAGGGTCTTTCCTAGCTGTGATGGAGTTTATTTAAGGAAATCTGAGGTTCTGCTTTCTGTTGCCCCACATCTCCTCTTTATACAAAGTGCCCCCCTCCTTTGCTTCTTGCTGAAATTGTCGATTTAAACAGTTTTTATTTGCTGATTTCTTCTTTCAGAATCCCGAACTCTGTCCTTTACTTTCATTTCTCTGCTAGAGCTGTGTACCTAAAGTCTGTTAACCATGAGAACAGGACAAGGGGAGAAAATGACTCTTTCCTTTGTAAAACCGTCCTTCTCACCTACCCCCGAAGATGGCCTGTCCTCTCTGCCCCTGAGGTCTTTCTTCACGATTACCCCAGTTTTTTAAGGGCAGCCTCTTATTTAGTAAAGCATGTCTGTAGGGAGCCTGTCACCTCACCCTGGAAGGTAGCTGGTCCAACATGGAGGACGCCCTGTGGTGTGAGGAATTCCCTTGTCAGGCCCGGAACGAGTCCTGTGCAAGGCCCCCAACCAGCCGAGCGCCGACTCAGGCTTCCCTGCCCAGCGCGGTTCTCCTGCAAAGCCCTTCCTCTGATGGTCTAGAAACACTCTTACCCTTGTTCCGCCCCCGGGAACGCTGGCATGCCATGTTAACTCTGAACTTGGGTTTTTAGCAAACTGCAGACTGATATAAAGACCACTAACTTGGAAGAGATGAGGATTGCCATGGAGACGTATTACGAGGAGGTGTGTGCTGTCTGCCCAGTGGGGGCCGCGGGGTTGGAGGGTGTGGCTAGGGGCAGCTGCTGACCTGGGCCACGGCCCGGCTGCGCTGTGGGCACGCTGCCCTCCTGCTTCGTCTTCCCCTGCACGTGCATCACAGCCACTGAGTGCTTGCTTCCCTCCACTGGGCAGAAATCGGGAGTCTGGTTACAGTTTTGTCAGAGGAGGGTCTGCCTGCTCACTTTGTATTTTAATGCGTTTCCATTTGTTACCTGCAGATTCACCGTCTCCAGACTCTGTTGGCAACTTCTGAACCTACGGGAAGAAAGTACGGTTTCTCCTTTGGGAGCCCTGTCCCCTGGGTTGTCCTCGTGCTCAGCTGCTCTAGAGGCAGCACAGTCAGTCCCTGGAGGCCGCGTCCGGTGCCCTCAGCTCGAGCAGCACCGGCCCGCGCCTGTGTCCTTGATGGGGGAGTGGCCACGTGTCTGGCTGGGGTGTCACAGGTGTGCTGACTGCCCCCGGCACGCTCAGTGCTTGTGCTTGAAGCGTTCACACTGCCGAACAGCCCCAGCTTAGGGTTAGAAAACGCTGGTTTCAAACAGATCTTCCTTCTCGGAGGGCGTTTAATACCAAGGACAAGCTCATTTTGCCAAGTCAGTTTCTGAGGAGAGACATCATGGTTCCCTTATGGCATAGACTTCCCTGACCCCTTCCTGAACCATCTCAGGCTTTCAACACACCATGGAAGGAGCGACCCCTTTCCATGGATTTGGGCGCGTAGCTGGTCTGCAGTAGATTCCTGGCGTTTGTCGAGTGTTTACACTCTGCCGGGCCTGGTCTGCCCTTTTTGCCCCTTCCCTCGGTAGTTTCAAGTGCGTTGGCAAATTTTTCCTGTAAAGGGCCGGTAGTAATTATGGTCCATTCTCGTTATTCGCAGCAGTGGTGTCCTTAAAGTCTCTGCGAGCCCTGAATTGGCAAATACTGAAGCGCTGCGCCTGGGGGTCCGGGGTCAGGTTCCCATGAGCCTCTGGCCACCACATTCTCGTCAGCGGTCAATACATAACCTTTGTACGTGTGTTTCTGTTAAACACACCTTGTGAGGTTTATGTTGTTAACTCATTGACATTGGACTCGCACCCACAGCGCTGTGACTCAGGCCTGAGAGAGGCTCGTCTGACACGTGTGTTTTCTCCGTGAGGCCCGTCCCAGCCTTCTCACACTCAGGAGCTCCAGCCCGCGCTCCAGCACCATGCGGGAGCGCCGTTTTATTTACTTATTTTTTTACTTATTTTATTGAGGTCATATTGGCTTATAACCCTGTATAATTTCAGGTGTACATTCTCATATGTCAGCTTCCGTATAGACTGCATCGTGCTCACCACCAATAGTCTAGTTTTTGTCTGTCACTGTACATATGTTTGGGGGCCACTTTAAACAGCGAAATCACCAAAATCACAAAAACGTGAAAAGCATGCACTAAATAGATGGTGAAAACGACACTTGTTGACAGTGCAGTAGCTGGAATTAGAAGCCGGAGCGGTGCATTGTCAGCCTCAGCCGGGAATGTGCCCAGCAGGCGACTCCAGTTCTTTGCCACTCTGCCCACATTCACGAGTGACCAGGAGAGTGCCACACGTGTTGATTAGGAGGTTACAGGTTCACTTTAGCAAGTAGGTGAATTTGCAAATATGGAATCAGTGAATAATGAGGATCAACTATCTTAGACTGTGTGGGATGAGAGACAAAATCAAAACTATTATATAGGTACTTATGTAACAAGAGAGAAAATAAATTTCCTTAGATTTCTTAGTGATAGAATTTAAAATATATTACTGGTAAGTGAATACAATATTTTGTTATGCAGGTTTACTAACGAGAAGAATGGAGTTCTGTTTTAGGGGATAACACTTTGCTTATTTGGGGTTCAAAGTTCGTGTTCCCTATTCAACTGCAAATATTCACCTACAGAAACCACTCTGAGCCATGGACAGGCGCCCCAGGCCCTCATGTGCCCACTCCTCACTGAAGACGTTTGTGAAGCCAGTTTAGAGCCCCAAACCTTAGCCGCTTGGTTTTGTTGTCCCTAGGCCTCCAGTGGAGAAGAAAATCAGCCTGAAAAGGCAGAAGAAGATGAGCAGCGCCCTCCTGAGCTTGTCCCGGAGCGTCCAGGAGCTCACGGAGGAGAACCAGAGCCTGAAGGAGGACCTGGACCGCGTGCTGAGCAGCTCCCCCACCGTCTCCAAGACAAAGGGTATCTGCCCGAGAGCCACCCAAGGAGGGAGACACGAGGAGAGAGGTGGCGTCTCTTGTTCTTGGAGGGAAGACGTGGGGTAGCGGCCATGGGGGATCGTGGCCCTTCCTTCCTCCCAACCCCCAGGGCCCTGTTGCGTTGGCCACAGCCGCGGGTACAGCCCGCTGGGCAACGCTGCCGGAAGCGTAGTGAGCACCTGCTGCATGCCACTCTGCTCTGGGTGCTGGAGACAGAGCAGTGGAGGAGAGCGTGCAGCCTCCCTCGTGGAGGTGACACCATCGCAGGGAGGGCGAGGAGAAGCCAGCGGGTCCAGTGTGGGTCAGGTGGGAATGAGTGCTATGGAGCCAGTTAAAGGAGGGCAGGAGGCAGCAGCTCAGGGCGGTGGCATGCACCTGTGAGTGGGTCTTCAGGGAAGGCCCCACCGAGACAGTGACAGCCGCGCACAGTCTGAGAGAGCTGAGGGACAGCTGTGCTGATGGCCGGGGGAAGGGCACTCCAGGCCCCATGTGTGCCCGGCATGTTTGAGGACCAGCAAGGTGGCCCCTGTGCCCAGCGTAGGGAAGCAGTGGAGAGTGGCAGCAATGAAGACAGAGAAGCGGTGGGCCAGATGGAGTGTAGGGCCTTGAAGGCCACTCCAGAACCAGGGGTTTGAGCAAAGGTGAGAAGCGTCTGCCTTGTTCTTGGAGACCTTGCTTCTGTGCCCAGTGGACTGTGTAGCAAAGGGGCCTGGAAGACGAAAGCTTTTGTGGTGGCCTCGAGGAGCTGCTGGTGGCCGGGACCAAGTGGTCCCACAGTGGTGAGAGGTTCCAGGTGCGTCTTGGAGATCAGGTGTCGCCTGTGAGAAAAGGGAGGAGACAGGCTCCAAGGTCTTTATCTGAGCAGCTGCAGGGACCGGTGTGGGGAGAGGGGCCAGGGCAAGTCTGTGGTGGGTCACAGATGTCAGGGGGAGGCTGGACGTATCAGTGAGTCAGGGCAGAGGCCCCTCGTGGGCAGCAGTGAACACGTGACCCAGGTGAGATTCACATCACCTCAGGAGTGAGCAGAGAAGAGCCAAAGAGGGGACCAAGGGGCTAGGAGGTGACAGGAGTGGCCAGCGAGGCGGCCAGTAGAGCCAGGGGCGCGTGGGGCCTGATAGCCCGGCGAGGGGAGCATGGGACGGAAGGAGCAGGGCGGGTGTGCTGCCGTTCAGGAGGATGAAGACTCGGAGTAAGCTTTAGAGTCGGCAGGGTGAGGTCATGGGCGACCTTGAGAAGAACCATCTTAATGGGCTGGTGGGGCCAAGCCCACCCGGGGTAGAATCTGGACAGCATGTCACACTGAGGCCTCCAGAGACCACTCGTGTTGACGGCTCCGCAGAGGCAGGGAACTGAGGCTCCTTCACTGCGAGAGGCACCCAGATCGCAGGAGCCTGCCAGACGTGGTCTTCCGGCTTTGCTGTGGCTCCACGGGCTGTGCCAGCCTGAGAAGGGGAGGCTCTCAGGCTGGTGGTCCAGGCTGGGGGCTCTGTGGAGGTGGTTGTACAGCGTGTCTTAAAATCCCGTTGCTTCCACTAGGTTACATGGAGTGGAGTAAGCCCCGGCTGCTTCGACGGATCTCGGAGCTGGAAAAAGTGAGTCACACGCCTCTCAGCGTCACCTCCCTCATTCGGGACCTGCCCACGCTTCAGGAGTAGCTGGAGACTTAGAAAGTGGGGACAGAAACAAGGGGCTTTGCTCGTAGGACTGAGGGAGGTCGCACTGAATGTGGGAGCGTGCCCGGCTGCCAGACGGCGCACAGCACAGCTGGCAAGGGAGGCGCCTCGCCGTGCAGACGAGCTGAGAGTCACGGCCTGCCGTCCCTCGTGTCACTGACGGCAAAGCTGTCGCACGACGCAGCGTTGGACTTCCGCGTGTAGCTGTGGGTGGATGCCAATGTAGAGGGACCATAGAGCCTTTCAGAAATCCAGCCGGACGCACACCCGTGGGCTGTTTACAGCCAGTCACTTACCAGACTCTTCTCTCCAAAACTCTGCTTGTCCACACTTCGCCAACCGCAAAGTTGGGGCATTCCCATTTCCTCACCTGCCCCGTGTGAATTTGAAATGGGTAGTCAGTCTGCTTCTGCTGAAGGTGGGTGGAGGTGTCGACTCCTGCTGAGTAGATGGTGAAAAGTTGGGGCTGTCACGTCGTTCGACTGAGCAGAGTGAACCTGGAGGGGACTTTTTTTTTTTTTTAACCAGTAAACCAAATTATTTATTTCTCTTAATTTTTTTAACTCTTGTTAAGTCATATTCATCAATTCCCATGTAGCCCATCTTAAAGTTAATACCAAAAATACTCAAATATAGAGCAACATCTACAGGTTTTAAAATGTGGGATATTATTAATTAACGCTGTCTGACAAATTCAGCGTAATTGAAAATAACCAGTGGAGACATTTTTTAAAAATTAATTTCACATAGGTACAAAGCAGAAAGTTTATCTAAATTGTGGATATTTTAAGCAAAAAGCCCGTTAGGAGAGAAAGGCCTCCAGAGGTGGTCCAGATGCCCTGTGGGGCAGTGCTTTTCCAGTCCCCGTGGGAATCTGAGGGTGCTTGGTGTCTCCTAGCCAGCCAGCTGGCTTGTCATATAAGACCAAAAGCATAGGGTGAAAATTCCAGAAATTCTGGGGAAATAATAGGGTCCGTGAGCAAGAAGTAAAGTAGTTTATGACGTCTCCTCCCCGCACGCCCTTTGCTCTCAGGGTTGTTAGTGGCCCTGCCACGTCCTGCCCCAGCTGGGGTCTGCGCTCTCCTGCTCAAGTGCAAGAGAAGTGTGCTGGGTAGGGTGCTCCTCCACTGCCCGCAGAACCCTGAGGCAGGAGAATCGTCCCCAGGTTTCTCAGGTCACACGGAGCCTTTCCCATCCCCTTGCCTGAGATGAGTTTCCTGTTGGTCAGTGTCTCTTTTCTGGGTTCCATAAACAGAAGGTGAAGTAAGAAATAACATCTAACAGATGCCTATGTTGCCCCCAGAAAATAAGTTTGATGGAAAGCCCAAAGTCTCCCGCTTCGGAAGTGGTCCAGGCAGGCTTCCCGGCTGACTCTTCATCCAGCTCCACCGTGCACAGGCAGCCGCGATCCGACCGCCATGAGGAGGGCGAGCGTCTCCGGGGGGCCGTGAAAAGTCTGAAGGGCGAGCGGAACGCCCTGCAAAGCCAGCTGCAGGAGAAAGAGTACGTGGGCTGAGGCGTCTCCTGAGGGGCTGCTTTCTGTTGACGTGTACTGTCGCTAGTGTGAACTGGAGAAAGATGCTCAGCTCAGAGTAGTGATTGCAAGTATTTTTATATGATTCTAAGACTTCTTATATTTTGCTTCTGAAATAAAGGCAGCTTTAGTGGTAAAAAGGAGACATTAATTGGCCATATTATGTAATTAAAAGAGTGTAGGGGGCTGCCATTTAAATCTCTTTATGTTGAATTCCAGAGGGATTTCCAAATTCTTTTTTAGAGAAGAATGGACTTTCATTGATTTGTGTAAAATAGGCCATCAATTAGATCTTATGCAGAGTGGTTTAAAGATTCAGTAATATGCTTATGACGTTCCATCTGTATATCAAATAAGACATAAATGCTGTGAAGTATTCAGTGTGGCTCTAAGAATGAAAAGCTAAGCCGCAAGAATTTGCTTATCCACTGTTTGTTCTCCAGTGTCTTGATCTGTAGCCCACTTCGAATGCACCTGTCTCCTTCCCTCACTGTTTATTTGTGGCTTCTCTAGTCGCAGTCCTGTCATGAGTAAGCTAAACCCATGCATTCCTGAGGTGGTGTTTCTCTCTCAGACTTGCTACTCAGAGTGTGGCCTGGGAAGCCAGCAGCCTCAGCATCACCTGGGAGCTGGTTAGAGATGCAGAGCCTCAGACCCCGCCCACCTGGGAGCTGGTTAGAGAGGCAGAGCCTCAGGCCCCGCCCACCTGGGAGCTGGTTAGAGAGGCAGAGCCTCAGGCCCCGCCCACCTGGGAGCTGGTTAGAGAGGCAGAGCCTCAGGCCCCGCCCACCTGGGAGCTGGTTAGAGAGGCAGAGCCTCAGGCCCCGCCCACCTGGGAGCTGGTTAGAGAGGCAGAGCCTCAGACCCCGCCCACCTGGGAGCTGGTTAGAGAGGCAGAGCCTCAGGCCCCGCCCACCTGGGAGCTGGTTAGAGAGGCAGAGCCTCAGGCGGGCCCAGATCTGAGTCTGAGTCTGCAGCTGAGACCCCCTGGTAGCTCAGGGCGGTGTGGGTCTGAGAAGGCCTCACCAGCTGACTCCTGGCCTCCTCAGTTCTGCTGCCTTCTGTTTATAGCAGAAGGCAAATCCCCTCACACTCCACCGTTCTTTCACCTCCAGTCAAAGTCTACTACAGCATCTACGTGAATTGATAGATTCTTGTAAAAACTAGTATTTCATGAAGAATTTTAAAAATTAGGCTAGTCATTTTGAAGAGTAAGTAAGGTCTGTGATTATCTCTCAATCTATCACATGGCATGGTGATAGTTTCCATTTATTGAGCCCTGACTAGGTGACAGGGACCCTGCTAAACGCAGGGTTTTATCTCCTTCACATGGAGATTAACAGGACCTTGAAACGTTAGGTCACCACACAGTAAGCAGTGGGACTGAGATGCAGGCAGAGGTCTCGTTTTAAAGCCACGTCCTTGGCCACGTGTCACCCGGGTCACCCCCACCCCTACCCCGCGCTGCCATCCGTCCAGGCCTCAGCTCAGGCACACCTCCAATTTCCCGGCCCCGGACAGTCGCTGGCCCCCAGCAGGGGCTCAGTAAACACCTGAAGGAAGGCCCGCCTGGGCGTCGGGACTCGCGGGTCTGTGCTTGGTTCTGTGTAGTTACAAGAAGTGCCTTTCCTTATCCTCTGCCCCTGTCGTCTGTCCACCATCATAAGCGAGGATGTTGGACTGCGTTGTTTCTCTGAAAGCTCCTCCTGCTGTGTGGCGCTCGGCGTAACTGTGATCTTTTGTTTAATGAACTTGAAATGTCTCTGGTTCTGTATGCTCAGGTTGGAAGTGAAGCAGCTGCTGCAGACAAAGGCTGACTTACAGAAGGAGCTGGGAAACATGAAGGAAGGTGAGAAGGAGAGAAGAGAAAGAGAGGAGGCTTTGAGGTGAGTGAACCGAGAGTCAGAGTGTTTAGGGGACACGCGCAGTCCCACGCTCTTCCTGCCGCCCCTGCTACCCTCCCCTCCGTTCTCAGCAGCCTCTGGAGTGGTCTTTACAGCACTCCAGCCTGACTAAGGCACTCCTCTTGCTGAGATCTTTCAGTGCCTTTTTGTTTCCTTCCGAGTCAAAATCCAAACTCTGGGGAAAGGTTCTTCATAATGAGGCCAGTGTTTGTCTCTCTGGCGTTACGGCCAACTCCTCCGTGTGCATCCTCCACCCCAGCCGTGTCCACTGTGGGCGATCTCAGCCTGCACCCTGGTTCCACACCTCTGCTCCAGACTCAGCCCAGCTGTCAGTTCCCTCCTCGGGATGGTTGCCTCCCGCACTCAACGTCATCCCTTCACAATAGCCAAAAAGTGGAAACCACCCAAACGTCCATCAGCTGAGGAATAGATAAAACACTGAAGTGTATCCATACAAAGGAATGAGGGTCTGACGCTACAACACAGATGGACCTCGGAAACCTTATGCTCAGTGAAGGAAACCAAAGGCAAAGGCCTCCTATCGTGTGGTACTGAAATGTCCAGCGCAGACAAAGCCATAGAGAGAGAAAGACTAGTGGCTGCCACAGGCTAGGGGAGGGGAAATGGGGAGTGACTGACAGGTATGGGGCTGCTTTTTGGGGTGATAGAAATATTCTGGAATTAGGTAGTATTGATGGTTGCACGACATTGTGGATATACCGAAAACTACTTGTTGACTTTAGAATAGTGAATTTTATGTTATATGAATTTCATCACCATTAAAAAAATATCCAAAATAGTAGATTAGAAATCTGAGCAGAAATATTTAGCACTCAGAATAATTAGTAAGACACAAATTACTGAAATGAATGTTATTTTCAGGAAAAGTGTGACTAGGTTTTGTCAGAAGGCTGGAATTAAGGTAAGTCAGAAAGGCAGGTACACAGTGAAGATTTCTTTCTACTTTGCCTTTAAAATCTGTAGCAAGGACACTAGTTGTGTTTCCTTCCATTCACATTGCTTGTTGAAAACCCCAAATGAGACCTCACTGCTCGTCATTCAGGCACTCAGTATATTTTCGGTTCTTACCAGGGGCCGGAGTGGCGCTTGGCCCTGGGAACCCCGAGTCCCTGCCCTTGGGGAGCTCCAGGCCAACGAGGCGAGCGGAGACAGCGCTGTCCTGCAGCGGGGTCCCTGGGGCCGTGCCCAGGTGCAGTGGGTGGTGTACCCCACAGTGCTCTGGGCGAGGTGTCCCTGCCGCCTCTGCAGGCTGCCCTCCCTGCTGTCGCATGTGGACGTCTCACAGTGTGATGACCAGTCAGGGGTCATCTTTTCCCTTCCCACTTTAGAGAGGAAATTCAGACACTTACCAAGAAGTTTCAAGAGCTGGTAGAACTCAAGAAAGAAGAGAAAGACGACGTCCCGGAAGTCACTCCTGAGGTATGGTGGGTGTTTTCCGCCTCCCGTTCAGGCATGGTGGCCGCGCAGCCAAGCCGTGCTGGCGCTGATGGTTTACATACCCAAGGTTTTTCCAGACCCCGGCACTCACGGTCCGGTTTCCTTTGATCATCACAGTCGGTTTCTGTGAATTGTGTGTTTTGAATCCCAGAGTTCTGGGCACATCGATTGTCAGTTAACTGACTTTTGGAACTAGTATTCACATCTTGGATATTTAAACTGGTGAGTGAAGATCTTCCCAAAACTTCAAATACACAAAAAGTTTACCCCACGGGGGCTGTCCGTTAGGAGGTGAGGAGGAGTTCGAGAGGGCCTTGGGGGGAAGGGACGGCACGAGTGCTCGGTGAGGACCTCCTGTGCCCGCCCTGTGTGCTGGGGGAATGCGACACTGACACAGGCCTGGCGGGTGGTACTTGCCGTGGCCGGGCGCATCTCGTGCCCTCTGCTCCTGCCTGGGCGTGGCACGGGTTTCGGCGTGGAATGAAACGGCCCCTTCCCTCTGCAGGACCTTGGGCAGCTGAGAGGCAAGTCTAGGCCGACTGTGCTCCTGTCCCTGTCCCCTCGCTCCCTCCATTTATATGGACATGAAGGTGGTCTTTGTGGCCGTGAGGGGTTCCCCTGGCACCTCCCTGGAGGTCCCCACTGGCCCAGTGCTACCTGCACTTGGAATTCTGATGGCTAGAATGCACCTCCTCACTAATCCTTTTTTCCAGTTAATGGATTCTTCAGATGGCAGATAAAGTCTGATATCTGCTAACATGAAAAACAAGTAACAGAAGTATTAAAACCCCGTGGCTGCAGTTTGCTCCACGAGGAGCCTATGCGTGGATGTGTGATAGGTAAAACCAGCTTGGTGTGCGGTGTGTCTGCAACGAGCGCCTGTTAGAGGTGGGGGAGTCTATGCAGCAGCCTCGCTGCGCTCCCTTTTCTGTGACCCTCTTTCTGCTCGAAAAAGATTGGAGTCGCACCTGGGGAATCCACCAGGATGGCGGGTCTTTACCCAGCACACGTTTTAGCCAACAAGTTGTGTGGCTTCAGAAAGCAACGTACTGTTTCTGCTGCGTCTTACTGTAGCAAGTGGCCTGAAGAGGCTGCTGTTGGCGACCAGGAGGAGGGGCCTTGTCAGGCCGCACAGCTGAGGTATCTGCTGATGGTCGAAAATAAAAGAGTTTTGTTTTTAGACTCTGGATTGGCTTCCCTCTTCCAAGGTGGGCTTGTTTAGCTGGAGTCTTAATTTTAAGGCCAGTTCTTTTAGCGTGACACCACGTGTCCTTCAGCTCTAGTACCAGCGGGGAGAAGAGAGGAGCTAAAAGTTAGGGAATTTGGAGGAGCTGAGGAGCACATCTGTAATTACAAGTCGAGACAAACCACAGCACTACCGAGTAGGCAGAAGAAAGGCGGTTTTCATGGTGCATGGTAGCTGGTGCCCGGGCATTGTACAGTGGCCCTGATCGCGCGTGTCCTGCTGGCCGGGCGTGAGGATTGGACAGTGTGAGTCCATCTCAGTCCCCTCGGAGACTGCTTTTGCTGTTCAGTACAGTAACTTTTTGTGTCATCTGTGTGGCTGCATTTCCGTGGCGGTTTGTCCAGTGCTTTGGTTAATGTCCTGAGTCCTGCAGAGTCACTGTCCCAGTGTCTGTGTGACGGTCACTTTTCAGGACCCCCCTGCTTACCAGAATGCCTGCGGTCTGCCCCAGGTGGGTGCGACGCCAGGGCATGGTCCTTGCCCCGCTGACGGCACGGGCATGTCCTGTGGCAGGGCTGTGCTTGTGTGTCTTCTCTAGCCACCACGTCCCTTTTGGGCGTGCAGAGTCTGCCTTCCCAGTGGGGCGCTCATGGGGCACCGGCTGTGACGCATCTACCTCAGGTTGTCCCGACCCCTGGGAGGAACCCGACGTAAGAACATGCAGGTGTTTCTGCTGATATTTAAAGCTTTCTACTCAAAGTCCTATATCCCTTAGGGAGAAAAAATATCTTGCACATCCAACAGGACTGGAAATACTGGCTTTGCGTATGGAATTCATCTGGTTCTCGAAGACTCCTCCCTCTTTTTGGCCTGTCAGGTTTTCTGCAGACCCTCAAAACGGAAGGAAAACAAGTGTGTCCCATTGTCTTATCAGCATGTTGATTTGGAGGCAGAAGAGGTCGTCTTAGCACTGATTTCCTCCTGCTGCACTAACTGGGCACAAATTGAGTCAGGAAATGACCCAGGTGTAGGTGCCTGTCCCATCCGGTCACGCTCACTGACCGCTTGGAAGGGCCTGGTGCGATGCTGCGGGGTCCCCTCCTTGTGTCGAGCACGTTTCCCGCAGAGTTTGCCGCTTTCTCTGTTCATTTCAGGCGTTTGGGACGTGGGTCCTCCGCTAACTCAGTGCCGGGCAGAGAGGCGTGTCAGAGAGAGCCTGAGGAGTCCTTTCTTCCAGAAGTGCGTCCTCGGTCAGCCCTCCCTTCCTCCTGAGGGTGGCCCGAGGAGGTTTGCTTGGTGTCAAAGTTACACTAGGTGTTTATTTTCTCATCTTATACAACCTTGAGATTATGTGTGCAGTAGATGACAGGGACCAATCTTGGATCCCAAGGTTCCTGCCATTCATTCAGGGCGGGCCGGAGGAAGGAAGCCGTGACTGCGCAGGCTCTCAGTCTGCGGGCGGTCACTGCGGCCTTGCCCACGGCTGCACTGGGCCCGTGAGGGGAGACCCAGGCGTGCGTGGTGGCACGGCTCGTGTGTGGAGCGTCTGCAGCTGCTGCAGAGGGTAGAATGGATCTCCACTGACTGCCTGGGAGAGAGGCCTGTGACCGATGGCTTGACAAAACAAATCCCTCTTGCCCCAAAGAAGTTCATAGCGTTAATCACCTTTATTAGGAAGAAACATACGTAGAAAAATGTCTGGAAGGATTACCAAAATATGGCTGTTTCTGTGGGGGGGTGGATCACGAGTGCTTTTTTACTTTCTCTTAGTACTGTCTGAATTTTTTGTAAGAAGCATTATTAGCTCTGAGTTTTTGCTGCATGAAGAGCATTTCCATTTTAAAGAAAAAGTAAAAAGGGACGAATTAGGAAGACTCCTGTTCTGATGGGGGCGGCTCTCAGCAAGCGGCTGTGAGCCCTTAGTTGTAGGTTTCAGTGCAGTGATCTGAGTCGTTTTCAACAGTTGCTTCCAGGAATGCGTGTGTATCTCAACATGTGAAGTTCTTTCAGCTGTGTGCCTCGATCGGTTGGAGTAAACGTTCCTTTGTCTTCTCAGAGACTGATTTTACCTGTTTTGCTCACACTGGCATGTGGGGACAGACTGTCTCTCCCCAGTGGGGCAGGTCTGGAGATGTGTTAGGATTGGGGAAGGAGACAGGCCCTCCTCAGGCTAACAGAGCCGGGACGTCGAGGCTGAGCCACGGGAACCTTGGTGGGAAGTAGCGCTGTGAGCAGCCTGACGGGATTGGCGATGACGACGGCCGGCTCGGGGACACCATGGCCTCGTCGGTGGGCGGACCACCTAGGCTGGGTGTCCTGGGCCTGTGATAGCCTGTGATAGAGCTCACCAGGGGAGGATTTTTATCAGATGCCTGTCTCTCCGTGAGGGGTTTCTCCAGCCCTGTGCCTCCACCGAGCTTGAATTTCTGAGAAAAATAGTCAAATATTTTGATTTTTATTGAGAGGTACCCTTGTAGATAATAAATTTGGCCCCTTACGTGGTAGAAATCAGTGTTATTTTGATGGTCACAATAGGAATTCTCGCTTCTTTCTACCTTAAAAACCAAGTTAAAAATCTATTGCCTTTAATCTCAGAAGTCCTGTTTTGGTGACACAGTGTTAGACTAAAAAAGGCCCCCCAGAGGGCAGATGATTCTTGCAGTAATGTACCGATGGTTCTGAGCTTAGGAAGGGTGCGACAGACCCTTGGGCGAGCTGCCTCTTCGACCCTGCAGGACAGTGCTGCCAGATGGCCTCGGACGGCACCTGAAGACCCCCGTGTGGCTCTGTGGCCTGGCTTGTGTGTTGCTTCTCGAGTTTCTGTCATGTGGCGTGCTGAAGCGTGTGGGTTCACTCTGTCCCCTCAGTGAGAGGTCGAGTCTGATAAGTGTAGCCCGAGTCAGGCGGTGGTGTCCTGCCCTTGCCTGACAGCCATCTGCCCTGCCCGACTCAGCCTTCCTTCCTGCCTCGAATTCCCGCAGAGCCAAGAAGAGCCCCAACCTTCCCGTCTAGCCAGCAGCCCCGCTCAGCAGGACGCCGAGCCCCAGGCGAGTGGGGAGGGCTCCCGGGCCCGCTCCCCTGGCTCCGAGGGGAGGAGAGACACCGCTGCCCGGCTCCTGCAGGCCCGCTGGAAGGTGTACAGACACAAGGTGAGGGTCCTGAGCAGAGCCTGCTGCCCGCTCCACCAGCACGGGTGCACGGAGGCCTTCTCCACCTGCGGGAGCCGCTTTGACATGCGGGCTCCGTGCTGCACAGCTGACATGTGGGAAAGTGTAGGCCCAAGTAGACACAGTGGAAGTCATGTCACCTGGGGCGAGGGGAGGCAGAGCAGTGAGGGAGGCTGGGTCCCACTGGGAAGGAGAGGAAGTTTCCCCTTCCAGCTGTCCTTGAAGGAGGAGCTGTTCCATTTGCAGACAGAGAAAGGCAGTGGGTTGTCCAGAAGCCTTCGTTAGATAGATCACTGACCTGTCACACAGCGGCCAGGCGCTGGGTCCCAGGTACAGTGACAGGGTGTGGCCCGACCGTGCCCTGGGAACACCCTGCCCACCCCAAGCATAAGCAGATTGATTGCCGAATCCTCTGTGCAAATTCACACCCAGCAGCAGCCCCTAGTCAGGGGCTCCGTGGGAGCAACCAGCCGGGGTGCAGTCTATGTTATTAGGAATTTCAAAACCTGCCTTGATGGGCTGCTCCTCAGAGGACAGCAGCTGCATGTCACGGGACAGGAAGGCTGTCCACCGAAGTGGGCATGCGTGTCTCAGACCCAGGAGACGGAGGAGCTGCGACAGCACCAGGTTCCTTGTGCTGGGGGAAGTGGGGTGAGGGATGAGGAGCCCCGGGGGGGAGTGGGGTGATGGAGGAGGAGCCAGTGGGGAAGTGGGGTCACGAAGGAGGAGCCTGGGGGGGAAGTTGGGTGATGGAGGAGGAGCCTGGCTGGGGAAGTGGGGTGATGGAGGAGGAGCCTGGCGGGGGAAGTGGGGTGATGGAGGAGGAGCCTGTGGGGGAAGTGGGGTGATGGAGGAGGAGCCTGGCGGGGGAAGTGGGGTGATGGAGGAGGAGCCTGAGGGGGAAGTGGGGTGATGGAGGAGGAGCCCAGGCGGGAGTGGGGTGATGGAGGAGGAGCCCGGGGGGAAGTGGGGTGATGGAGGAGGAGCCCGGGCAGGAAGTGGGTGACAGATGCCCAGGGGATGAAGTGGGGTAACGGAGGAGGAGCCTGGCGGATGAAGTGGGGTGACAGATGAGGAGCCCCGGGGGAAGTGGGGTGACTGGTGAGGAACCCTGGGGGAAAGTGTGGTAATGGGTGAGGATCCCAGGGAGGAAGTGGAGTAACAAGCTGGGGGGCGAGGTGAAGTGAGGTAACAGGCCAGGAGCCCAGGGGATGTTCCCAGTGTTCTCTTGTGGCGGGAGGAATAGAGTTCCTTTCTTTCTTCGTTTCTTTTTTTGGCCAGGATGATTGTCCCTGAGCTCACGTCTGTGCCAGTCTTCCTCTGTTTTATGTGGGATGCCACCACAGCGTGGCTTGACGAGCAGCATGTAGGTCGGCGCCCAGGCTCTGAACCCGTGAAGCCCAGGCTGCTGAAGCAGAGCATGGGGACTCAGCCACTAGGTCACCAGGCGGGCCCCTGGGGTTCCTTTCCTCAGCTCCTGGGGTGGCTCACTGACTTTCAGTCCTTCAAGGACAGTGGGCTCCTCAGAGGAGCGGAGTGCCCTGCAAGAGCTGCTAGTTTTGTGGAACCCAGCACAGGCCTGTTTCCCCGGCTGAACAGACGAGCGAAAGCTGTTCTCTGCTGACCGAGTGTTGTAAGGTCTTAGCTCCCGAGGTTGCCAGTGGAATTTCTTTATCGTTGCTTCTTCTCAACTTTTGTTATGAAAACTTACAAAACTTAGAGAAAAGTTGAAAGAGTCTAGTCTATTCAACAATATGCTATACTAATTCTTGCCCACCACCTCGAGTCAACGACTGTTAACATTTAGCCATATTTCTTCTCTATACATAGCAGTTTTTCCAGAACCACTTGAAAGTGGGTTTTAGACACTATGGAGCTTCAGTGCCTGTCTTCTAAGAATCAGGGTGTTCTCCTACTTAACCACGATACTGTTATCGCACCCAGGAAGTTTAATAACTTCATAGTATCGTCTACTGTCCCTTTCAAATTCCTGCAGATGTCCCAAGATGCCATTTGCAGCCGTCTTTGTCAGGCCAGGCTCCGTCCCAGGTTGGATTTTGACTCAGATCCAGTCAAGGCATCGTATTCGGTTGTAAGGCTCCTTCGTGTGGTTTACTTCAGTCCTCCACAGTCTTTTCTTTGAAAAGACACCTTTTGAAGAGTGCAGGCCAGCGTCCTACGGAACGTCCCGCATCCTGGCTGTGAGTGTTTGCTCGTGGTGTCCTTTAACTTGTTCCTCTGTCCCCTTTATTTCCTGTAAGGGGGCAATTAGGGCTACAGGCCTGATCAGGTTCAGCGTCTTTGGCAAGAATATCTCATGAGTGACACCCTGTATGTGACCTCACTTCAAGACGTGAGAAAGACCAGGTCGTCCTGCGTCTGTGTCTCTGGTTCTGGTCACTGGTTCCTGTCGTGGCTGCCAGCTCTGGCCACTGTAGAGAGACACTGTCCCTCGGTAACTAACCAGTAATCTCCAGAGTGTGAGTCCAGCCCTCTGTGAATGGTCCCCACCACTTTCACCTAATGGCATTAGCATCCTTTACTCATCTCTCCTCAGTTGGCCATCCCAGATGATTGTGGCAGGTTGACTTTGTTCAAATTCCATCCCTGCACTCAATAGTTGGCACTCTTCTTTCTCGGCTGTTCAGCTGGGCATAAACTCCAGGTCCTCCTAACGAGACAGGTAAATACTTAGTTGTTTACCTTCCAGTACCAAGGAAGCATGATTTCAGAGTAAGGACTGTTCTAGCGGTCACTCCCGTGGGGGCAGGTGAGCTTCTCCCTCTGTCTGTGTGAGGGGTGGGAGTATTACTGTGGGCTTCACATTTGTTGCCTATGCACTCTTTTAAAGTTAAGTGCAATCATTATTCTTTCTCGTGTTCATCTGGTCCCGAATTTGGCCACCCTTGGGTCTGGCTCCTGGTTGGCGTGCCCCCATGTTCTGGCACGAGCTGTCGCCTCCCCTGTGCCATCCTCACCCCAGAGCTGGCATCCGCCCTTCCTGAGCAGTGGTTTTGGAGAAGCAACTTATCTGCTTGTGCCCTTCTTTCTCCTCTGCCCTCTCTTCCCATCAGTCCTCTGCTTAATCACGAAGATAACGCATAGAGCACGTGCCGGGAGAGCCCCACGCTGGCCGCTGCTCCCCATCGGGTCATCAGGGCTCCCCCGCTGGCTTCCGCTACTCTCCCCTCAGGAGCTGACGCCTTGGCTCTTGTGAACTGAGTCCTTTCTAAGTTTATTTCAGGATTCTGCCTTTGCAGAACTCGAAACAGTCAAATACACATACGTCTAGTAAGAGAGCTGAGAGTAAAGCGTTTGAAAGGCGGCTTGATTAGAGATCAGGATCCTTGGGCTTTAGTCTGGGGTCTTGTTGGTCTCCACACGGCCGGGGTCAAGGAAGATGCCTGGAACCACGAGGAGGAAGACCAACCTCTCTGGGAGCTCTCGGGCTGTTAGAGTCTTTCCACGGCACGGCTGAAGCTGGGCCTGAGCTGCGAGCTGCCCTTGCCAGCAGCCCTTCAGTGGGCGAGTGCCCTGCGCGCTGTGATTCAGAGCGACAGCGTTCCGTCGTCTCCATCTTTCTCGAGTCACTGCTCTTCTCTACTCTTCAGGCTCCACGGTTGGACTTTCCCTTCCCCAGCCCACCCCATCGGCTGTCTCAGACTGTCTTTCCCACAATCTTCGTTGCCACTTTCCTTAAACCTATATTTCTTTTGCTTCTTTCTTACACCCTGCTGGTCCTTGTACTCTCTTTTTCCTTAATCCCTCAAGGGACAGATCCTTTCCCCACGACAGCTTTGGGCCATGCTCTCTGGTTAATTCTGAAAATCAGCTGGCTGATGTGCATGCCATCTAGTGGTGGTCGTGAGCCACTCAGTGCACATGTACATTCTTGGGCTTTGCTTACATCTATGAAAATACGGATTCTGGGGGCCGGCCTGTGGTGTAGTGGGCAAGTTTGCATGACCCACTTCGGTGGCCCGGAGTTCGCAGGTTCAGATCCCAGGCACAGACCTACACACCGCTCAAGCCACACTGTGGTGGCATCCCACATACAAAGTAGAGGAAGACTGGCACAGATGTTAGTGACAGTAAAGTTAGTAAAAGATTTTTTAAAAATACAGATTCTTGGGGCACATCTGCGATGACTCTGATTCAGCATCTCTCGGGTGCAGCTGACTCAAGTCCCCGGGTGACTGATGACTGGTCAGATTTGGGAGCCAGTGACCCAGACCCCTGAGCAAGGTCCCCTTTGTAACATCGCCAGCAGGCAGTGTCCAGCCATTCTGTGTTCATCCACAGAGACACCGTGTCAGGACAGCTCTGAGTGGGAGGAGGGGCTTTCTCATCAGACTTGGTCCTCCTGAGTTACTTCTCTGCTGCGCAGACCACACCGACACGCCCTCATCTCTAACTGGGCTTCCCCCTGAGGACGTTTGCCATCCAGTGATGGCTGCCTGCTTCCTTGCTGTTGCAGATGCATCTGGCTCGCTCAGCTTAGCCAGGACTGGAGGAGACGGGGGCGCGGAGCCTCCTGGGCTGTGGGCGGTGGGGAGGGGGCTCTTGGTGAGGAGTGTCCTGGGACCCCAACTCCGCTTTCCACCCCTGTTCACTGTGGCAGGGCAGGATCAACGAATGACTGCTGTATTGCAGAAAATTCATCCTCACGTTAATTCTTAATTTATCTCTTTATTTCAGAAAAAAAAGGCTGCTCTGGATGAGGTAAGCAAGGTTTATTTCACCAATTTCAAATTATGTATTTTTACTCTGGAGTGAAATGACTGTGCAGATATTTCAAGAAGCTTCATGAGGTACTTCTTTTCATGAAATCAGACCAGACCCCAACATTAACTTTAAAATACATAAGACATATTAACATCAAATAAATATTTGGGTAATTTCACACTTTCAAAATTCATTCAATCATTCATTCATTCTTTCAACACACTTACTGATCATCAGTTCTATGTGAAGCAACCTGGTGGGCCCTCGGACAGAGAGAGATATTAAGGTAAAGAGTAAACAGGGGCCAGCCTGTGGCCGAGTGGTTAAGTTTGGCACGCTCTGATTCAATGGCCCAGGTTCGCAGGTTTTGATCCTGGATGTGGACCTACACCACTTGTCAGCTGTGCTGTGGCAGTGACCCACATATAAATTGGAGGAAAATTGGCAATAGATATTAGCTTAGGGCTAATCTTCCTCAGCAAAAAAAAAAAAGTAAACAATCACACTTCAGTGTGGAAGGGGTGGTTTGGACCTTGTCCCTGGCACTGTGGAGCTGCTGGTCCTGCTCTGCTTGTGAAGGCCTAGGAAGTCCCCACAGGGGCTGATGTTCGAGCTGGGCCTTGAGAATGAGTAGGAACTCACTGGACTGGGAAGGGAGAGAAAGGGCACTCTCGGCAGAAAGTAGAGTCCTGGGCGTGCAGAAGAGCACGGCTTGCTCGGGAAGCACGTGGGAGTGAGCCTGGAAGTGGAGTCAGAGTGCACAGCAGGACGAGTTGTAAACGGCAGAGAGCTCGTGGCATTTGGAGCAGTGCAGCCGGGAGCCGCCCAGACTACTGCAGTAACCTCCTCGCCGGTCCTCTTGCTTCTCCTCCCTCCCGCGGCCTGTTCCCTACACGGCCACCAGGGTGACTTCCTCTCACACCGGGAACAAAGCCCAAAGCCTAAAGCCGCGGCAGCCACGCTCCGTCCGGAGGCCCCTCTGCACACCCGGAAGCGTCGGGGCTGTTCCTACCTCTGCCCAGACTCTCTCCCTCCAGATGTTTGGTATCTGCCCCTTGCTGTACTCAGGTCTCTGCTGGAACGGGTCCTCCTCAGAAACTCCTTCTCTGAATGCCCCGTACCACCCTTCACTCCCCAGCCCATGTCCCACTTTATTTTCTTCGTAGCATTTAGCTCTTCCTGATATTTTCCTTTGCATTTTTTTAATTACTCGTCTCTCCCATCAGAACGTACGTCCCTGGCGGCAGGGGCCAGCTCTGTCCTTTTGCTGTTCCATCCGCGGTTCCTAGAATGTCCTGGCGGGTGGCAGGTGTTCAGTAAACATTTAGTGAGTGAGCGAATGGACGAACTTGGGCCTCCTCAGGGGGCTGCACGGCGTGTTTATGGACCACCAGCACGTGCTGTCAGCCATGATCTGCCTTCCCCCTCCTGAGACCCCTCCCTAGTCCTCGCCTCCCTTGTCTCAAGTCACGATGGTGAAGGACTTGCTGCACAGGGCCGCTGTGGGGGCAGGTGTGAGTGTGGGCAGTGTGCGGCACGAAGGACGCTGCCCCCTCTGCCAGGCTTCGGTTGGAGTACTGTCAGCGGCCATCCCCCTCCAGCTGGTGGAGCGGCTCTACTGTCCCGCGAGCGTTGTGCACCTTCTGGCTTGGCTGCTAGTCACTGCGCTGGGGGGTGAGGTGCCCTCGAGAACTGGTGCTCTCGCGTCTTCGCTGTGCTTGTTCTTAACCCCACGTTCATGATGTTCCCGTCACCTCACCTTCAAGAAAAAACGAAGACGTGACTGTGATTCTGGACGCGTCTGGACCTCTAAATGCCCCCATATCAAGACTCAGTGTGCGTGCGTGTCCTTCTCCGCAAACGTTAAGAGAGCTGCTATCTGTGACCAGGGCCAGAGGCAGGGCCCTGGCAAAGTGCCGCCCGCGAGTCCAGAACTCACAGAGCGTCCGTGCGCTTCTCAAGAAGGGCAATTAAGATTAAGGGCACAGGATCAATAATTCCTCCGCGACAGTTTGAGATCACGCTCCCCTGCTTGACTTTAGACGATGTACATGGAAAGTACACGAAGTGGAATAAACTCTCCCAACATTAATTCAAACGACTGTGTAAATCATGGACTAATATTAGCAGCTAAACTTAATAGCACTTAGAGGATTCGTTTGTATTCCAAGACTCAGTTTACTGCGGATCGAGCGTCTGTGCCTTTTTCCCCCAAGAGGGTTGGTTTCTGTCGCTGTAGGAGGTGAGAGAGAGGGCTCTGTTAGATGCTCTGTGGTTATGGTGGCACAGGACGTCGTTTTCTCTGCTCGTAGAGCTCGTCCCCTGGAATCTCCCTTCTGGACCTGCCATCCTCCAGGCAGTGAACGCTCGCTTCTCTCTCTTTCCCTGCTAGGCGGCTACTGTGCTCCAGGCGGCTTTCAGGGGACACCTAGCGCGGGCGAAGCTGCTGTCGAGCAAAGCGTGTGGTTCAGAATCTCCCAGCGTGCCGAGCCTCCCCAGCCAGGTAATCCTCAAAGGGGCCGGACGCAGACCCAGAGCTCCCGTAGCGCCCTCCCCATCGCCTCTGCTCTCACTTCATCAACCGGGGCGGGCACGGGCCTCCCTCAGTCTTCGTGCACACCTTGTCCTGGGGGCGTGCCTTCCTCTCCATCCCGTGGCACGTTCAGGCCAAGCCTTTGGGGGCTGTAGCTTCAGGGGCCACATTGCGTGGAGGTGCTGGGACATCAGGGAGCATGCCCATCTTGCAGTGAGGACGTCAGCTGAAAAGTCTCAGAAAGATACGAGCTTTCTGTGTCAGCCCCTCCTCTGAGAATGACAGACGTTCATCCTAAGAATGTCCAGAGTCTAAGGATTAAGAGCCTTCCGTCAGGAAACGGCTGAGTATATAGCTAGGAGTGATCTGAGAGGGAACCATGCTGTTCTCGGCTCTGAAGTCCAGGCGTGGCCCCTGCCACACCCTGGAAGGGGCCAGAGGTTCTCACAGGTCTCTCCCTCGCTGTCATTATACCACAGAACTCTCCCTTACCCTGCTCTGCGAGCCCCGTCGTCGAGGCCGAGGGTGACCCAGGGCAAGAGGAGGCCATTACCGTCATCCAGTCTGTTTTCCGGGCACACCTGGCACAGGCTAGGCTCAGGTGAGTCCGACTGGCAGGCCCACCTCTGCCCTGTGTCACAGGGCAGTGCTGGACACACACCACGCAGGAGGCTGCCCATCCAGAGCGCAGCCCGTAGCGCCCAGGCGATGGCTGTGGGGGCCAGGACCTTGGCACATTGTCAGAGCAAAAGTTACACCTGTGAAAAACTGCCGCTCCGTGCAGGTCGGGCGGGCCACGAGGTCTGTCTGCAGGAAGCAGCCTGTGTGGAACTGTTTCCTCACACTGGGAGAAAACAGACAGGGTTGGATTCCGCGAGGTCCTGGAAACAAGCTGCTGGCTTGTCTTTATGCATTGCTCCTTTTTACAGAAAAATGTGGTGCGATCCCAGTGTTCAGGAAGACGTGGCTATTGCCAGAGCCCTCCTACAGCAGCACACACTTGTTCTAATTAGCGCCCTTCCTGCTAAATCTGCCAGGGGTTGGTCAGGGCTCTTCTAGTTTCAAAAACTCAGAACCCAGGGCCGGCCCCGTGGCCGAGTGGTTGAAATTCCCCGCGCTCTGCCTCGGTGGCCCGGGGTTCGCGGGTCTGGATCCTGGGCGTGGACCTACCCCACTCATCAGCCATGCTGTGGAGGGATCCCACATACAGAATAGAGGAAGCCTGGCACAGATGTTAGCTCAGGGAGGATCTTCCTCACACAAAAACCAAAAAACAAAAACCCATTGGATGGAGAGGAATTTACAGTGAGACTCAGAGAACGCCCCTCCGGGCACAGGGCAGGGCCGCTCCCGCCAGGTGTGGGCCAGCACAGGGGCCAGCTGCTTGGAGACCCAGGCATTCCCCTCCCTCCCCACTAGGCTCGTTCTGCTCTCTCACCACAGACCTCTCTGTTTCTCAGTCTACATGGCAGAAAACCACAGCCAACTGTCACTTTTAAGTCTGCAATTTCTCCTGCAAAAGGAGAGCCAGACCGAGTCAAAATCTCAGGTCCTGATTCCCTGTGACCTGGGATGGGCCTGGGGCTCAGCATAGGTCGGGGGTCCCTCCCTGGTGTGGTCAGTCCTGGCCAGAAGCTGGAGAGCTGCCCGCCTGGTGACCACATCCCCCGGGGATGGGGCCCTGAGAGACAGCTGGGGAGAGGAGGGCGTCTGAGGCCGGGTGCCCCAGGGAGACTGACAGCCCACGCCTGAGGCCCCCTCCTGCAGCCCATGAGGACCTGCACTTGGCCGGTGCGGGCTGCCCTGCTGCTCGCTTCTCTCGGGGAGTTGCCTCCAGCACATGCGTGAGCCGCTGTCAGCCCCAGTCGAGTCAGAGCCAGCTGGTTTCCCTCTCTCTTCCAGTGCTGCCAGCCACAGAGCTGCCACTGCCGCTCCCCCCAGGAGGAGGTCTGCCTTGGCCGCACCCCGCGAACCCTCCTCTCCACCCTGCCCTGCAGCTTCTCCCGGTAATTTCACTGCCTTTTGAATTTTGATGCAAGGGGCAGCTGGCCCTCTGAGCGTTAATGGGGGCTCGTCCCTCCTGTGGCCACCTGCAGACTAAGTCATGCCTTCAGCAGGGAGACGCCTGGCCAAGCCTCCCTGTCACAGTTCCTCTCGGCCCTGGACAAGCCCCAGGGGACTCCCTGGAGCCCGACAGTCCAGTGTGGGCATCGGCGTGTCTCCCGTTACCTGCAGGCCACACCCGGGAGCTCCGTGGCGTCTGTGTCTTTGGTTTTTAATCTCAGCTCTAACTGGAGCTGGGTGGCTTCCCTCCCTTGGGCCAGTGTTTCTCCTGTTGTTTGGTTTTAAGTAAAACTTTCCTTGCATTTCCTTTTCTGCTTCATTAAGGCCAGAAGCAGTCAGTGGAGAAACCCCTGGACCTGGTAGGGGAGCCACACCCCAGTTGTGAGGCCTGGTCCGCACTCTGCCGGACTCCTGACGTGGGGCCCCGGGCAGGGCCCTGCCATTCTCTGGGCCTCCTCATGTGCGAGGTGGAAAATTGGGCGAGACAACTCGAAAGTTGCTTTCAGTCCCCCAAATCTATGACTCTGTGACCGTACTTCAGATCCTCTCTCCCTTCTGCCGTAATTGGGAAGCTTTGTCCACGGCCGCTTGCTTTGACTGTCACCGAATGCCAAGGAGCAGCCGAGAGGCCGTGTTCGGAGGGCTGAGACTGTCGTTAGCCTGAGAAGGGCAGTGTTGAGGTCGGATTTACGAATGTGGCACGCAGGGTCAATGCTGTCGCCACACTTAGCTCACATGGCAGTTTCCAGTGAAGACGTGTCCTTTGCTGAGTCCTTAGGTCGCGAAGATGGAAGCAGAGAGGGACAGGCGCACGCAGGGCACATGCTTCCTATCAAGGAGGAAGTACAAAAGGAGCAGATTTTCTGAATCGAGAGATGTTAGGGTCGAAAGAAGGGCGGACGTGACAAGCCCTGCCCGTATCTGCGGCCGTCCCTCTGCAGATTGAGTGCTTCTAGTGTGCGTGTCATTGCAGGTCAGGAAGACAGTGAAGTGAGCAGTGGGGAGACCGTGGAGGGACCAGCTGCTGAGGACGAAGCGCCGAGGCCGTGGGGGCCAGGGGAGCCGGCCGCCCCGCAGCCCTGCTCTGGTGAGTGGGAGGCCGTGGCGGGGCCGCAGCCAGGGCAGAGCCAGCACTCAGCTCACGGCAGGCCCGAGGCTGAGTCCCTGGGCCTGGAGACCCCTGCCCGTCCAGGGGCTGGCCTGCTGGGGCCTGTGTCTCAGAGAATCTCCTGCACTAGCTAAGGGTTTTACACCACGTCCCACCTGGAAGTCACCACATTTAAACTGCGTTCTATCCACTTCAGTCATTTTTTCTGGCCATGTCAGAGCTAGCAAACCTTGAACTTTGATATTCTCTCCAAAACCTCCAGCTGTAAAGCTCAGCAAACAAAGATGAGCAGCACTGGGGTTTTAAGGAAATACGTGCAGATGCGCAAAACCTGAAAATCCAGGGGCCGTGCTGGAAGCTTTGGGCTCCCCAAAAGCTTCAGACTCTTCTCCAGAGACCCATCTCCCGCGGGCTTCCCCAGCCCGTGTCTGGTGCCCTTCAGACGCTTTGATCAGGGCTGCGTGTTTGTCTGAGCTGCCCTTTCTCTTCTGGTCACGTCAGTGCCTTTAAAGCAGCCGCTTCATCACCTTGTCTAAGGAGGGTTGTCGCAGGACGCAGGCTGGCCTTCGGCTGTATTTACCCGGGGAAACGGGTCTGGGTGAAAAGTGTCAGTCAAACCCTTGTTTGATCTGATTGTGAAAGGGTTTTTAAAGAAAAAGAAAACTGAAATAACCTGGAAAACTGATATTTTTAAAAATTTCTCATTTCCACTTTAATATTAGTTTTCTTGGAAGTTACAGAAAAAAAGCTGACACAGTTACAGTTTCTATAGCATGGTTGAGTCGTAATTTCCTTCCCATTTTATCTCAAATCAGCCACTGGTTCCTCTTTTACTTTCATCTTTTTGAAGCAATAAAACTAAGGCCCTCTCCTGCGGCCAGGGGGGCCGGACTGCTGGGTGGTGACCCTGCCCTTCCCCACAGCGCGGCCCCCATCCAAGGTGGCCATTTAGGGTGTCGGTGGTCAGTAGGTGGCACCCGTCCCAGCAGAGATGACAGGATTTGAGAAACGTAGACTTGTGTGAAGAAAGGAGCGTAAATGGGGGCGGGTCACTGGGTACTGCCCTGCCTCCTCCACTGGCATGTTCTCACAAGGAAGCTGGCTCTTACACACGCAGGTGGCTGCCGGCCTCATCTGCACACTCGCCCGGGGCCCAGACCGCCGGGACCTGCTGCGAGGATGCCTCTCAGGGGACTCCTGCCGCAGACCTGAGCTTCCTCCGTGCTTTTGCGGGTGTTATGCTTTTTGGAAATGGCCAGATTGCTCACAGCTGAGCTGGGAGACTTGGGGGGGTGGTTGCCTGGGAAATACTGAGAGTGGCTTTGGCGTGGCGTGAAGTTGATTCTGAAGGTCTGTCCTGTCCCTCACTCCTTCTGACTGTGACCTTGGGCTCACCTGCCAGCAAAGAGGTGAAGTGTAAGGTGTCCGTAACCGGCGCCCTGAGGCGGGCCCCAGCCCCGAGCAGTGGTGTGACCGACCCTCTCTGGTTCCTTTCAGCTGAGTCCTCTCCCACCGGGCTGCAGCCCATGGCGCCTCCACCCCCAGATGACGTCCACTCCGACGACTCGGACGAGATTGTCATGGCTCCATCTCTGCCCACGAGGAAGAGCGCCCCGCCACCCTAGGCCCCCGGTCTGCCCTGGTGGTGATGCTCTGTGGGGGGGTTGGGGCGAAGCGGGTATACGAACTCAATGGAAAGTAATTTATCTTTTAGGAAAAGAGCAGTGCCTACTCAACACCACAGCATCTTCGTCAGCTTCTCTCTTTGGTTCTTCTAGTTCGTTTGCCTTTATTTTATCTCTGGGAAGCGCCAGTGTCACATCCTTCCCTCCACTGCAGTTCACATGGGGGTTCTCAGTGCAGACAGACACAGCTGCCAGAGACTGGGGCGGGGGTCGCCCGGAGCCCTGCAAAGACACCTTCTCTTATAGCAACTTACGGGCCTGCCTTTGGCCTTGACCCGGGAAGAGCTGCTGTGTACCGGGCTGGCGCTGACCCCACCACTGCCCTCCTCGTCCTTGGCCACAGCTTCTCCAAGCAGAATTTGCTCCCATCTCAGCCCAGTAGGTCAGGCTAGACATGCCGCGCCGGGCCTTTGCAGAGGGGGAGATGAGACAGGCTGCAGTGGAGGGCGGCTTCTCCCACCCCCAGTTCGGATGCAGCCGCTGCAAAAGCTCGCGAGTCGCTGAAGACATCCGGGTCCCAAAGTGAGTTAGTGTTCCCCAGGCTCCCCGCTCTGCCTCTCACCACACAGGCCTTTCCTCTGTCATCTTCCCTACCCACCCGGGGCGCTGTCCCCAAGAGCTGCCAGTCCCGGGAAGGCGTCTGGTAGAATTTTGTCATTGGGTAGATTAAGCATTAAAAAAATACCAAATTACATGATGAGAGAAGCAGCAGCAAGTTTGCTTCTGAAGACGGCAGCGGGGCAGGCTGTCCCCAAGCCTTAGTGACCCCCGGGGAGGAGAGGGTGGCAGTCCCCAGCCCTGGCCCCTGCAGGCACAGCTCCGCGGAGTGCGGGTGGGGCCCGACAGAGCCCGCGGCCTGTGTGTTGGGCACGGAGTTCCTTCTAGTGGCTCAACCCTGGACGTGTGTCTGTGGTGAGACCAGCCCTCGCTGGGGCGACAGCGAGCCTCGGGCTCTGGGGCATTTCAGGGGCACCCAGACCCCGTGGAGCCCAGGGCCAGACAGGCCGGGCATCCCAGGAGAGCTGCTGTTGGAGAGCAGCGCTTTCTCAGCCTGAACAGAGTCTGCCCCTGGGATCGGGGACTGAACTCCCCAACCTGTCCCCACCAGAACACCAAAACCCTGCGGCAGGCCCTGCTGACGCTCACCCTCCTGGAGGTGCCCGCAGACTTGTATGTCCTCCCAGAGACTCCCACCCTCCTTGGAGAGGCCATGGCAGGAAGGGGCTCTGCAGTGCCACCGTGGGAGTGGGAGGGGCCTCCCCAGCCCGCCCCATCCTCCACTTGGGCTCTGTGTCTTCAGGGCCTGGCTGGTTGGGTCTCCTCTTGGTCTGTGTGCTGCCAGGTCAGTTTTCTCCTTCTCCGCTGGACTGCTTGCGAACTTGACCCGTGGTGGACCCCTGCTTGTCGCATCCGCTGGGGCTGCCCCCGGCGGCGTCCAGACCCATCCTTCCCTGGGTGCGGGCTCTGAGCAAAAGGTCTGCAGGAGCCCGTCTACCCACGAGGCCCCAGAGGGCTTGGGAGGCACTACTCTGGAGCAGAGGGGCAGGAGCGGGGTGGGGGTGGTGGAAGCGCTGGAGGGCAGGGGGAGCATGGGAGGCGTAGGGTCACAGAGCCGGGGACAGCCACACCTCGCCGGGACGCCCTGCCCGCCTGGAGAGGGCTCTGCGTGCCTCCCACCTGGCCCGTGTGCCTGGAGCTGGAGGGGCCTAGCCAGCGGCGGAGCTGAGAGGCCCTGAGAGTTGCACATGCATGTGTCTGCCTGTACTCCTCGGCTGTGGGTCAGGCAGTGGAGGGTGGGGGCAGCGCCAGTGGGTGCGGGGTAAGGCCAAGGGATGGGTGGGGTCAGGTGTGAGTGGGGCCTTAAGAGGTGGCACGACTGAAGTCCCCGGGGAGACTGGGAAGGGAAAAGTGATCCAGGAGAAAGGGGCCACGACCTCGGCGTCAGGGCCCCAAAGGCACAGGTCATGCGCTCCTGGGTGGAAGGCGAGTGCGTGCGGGGCTCAGTGCTGCCCCTGCGCACACCTCAAACTTCACGCTAGCAGCACCATCTGCTCTTAGAGGCTGTGGGTAGTCTAGCTCCCATGGAGCACATGCCTTCTCCATCCCAAATACCCTTAAACTAGCCCCAAGAGAACTGTGAAACCTCCGGGCCAGCTGGGCTGAGCTGTGGGTGGCAGCACACCAGGTGGCCCGGCACCACTGGAGTGGCCTCTGTGAAGCAGAGCTTGTGAGCTGCGGGTGCTCCTGGCCAGGGGAATGGTCCGGGCTGCTGCCACCACTGACCCCTCCAGGGGAGGTGCTATCAGGCAAGCTCCAGGGGCCCTCCAGGGACACGAGGGGGGCTGGCCTGGTCTGGCCATCAGTCCTCCAGAGGATACTGTTCCTACCACAGGGGAGAGACCCCAGGCTCGGGAGGCAGGGCCACACTGTTCTGTCGCCTTTCTGAAGGTTCCGGGTGATCTCTGCAGCCCTTGGTTCAAATCTGCACACCAGACGTGGGCTCCGGAGAAGTGCAGGAGGGGGCAGGTGCTGGCGGGGAGACCACGGGGCTAGGAGAGAAGGCTGCCGAGACGCTGGCATAAAGGCTGGGGCCCAAGCCCTAGGCAGATGTGAGGGGGATGTGCGTGGGGCGGACCAGGTGACAGTGGTTTTCAGGGACCTCTGCTGCAGGTGTCTGTGTGGAGTGTGATCCTGGAGAGAGAGGTGCGTGGCTGGGAGACGTCCCCACCAGGGAGGAGGGGCAGAGGGCCCAGAGAGGAGGACAGCCAAGACCACCGTGCGCCAGGCCTCCCGATGGGCAGCGTGCCTGCGACCAGTGCTCAGCTGACCGGACACAGCAGCCTGCTGCAGCAGGGGCTGGTTTGCTCATTCATCTGTGCATTAAGGAGGGAGCCTGTAAAGGAGATGAATGAGTGGTCCTGATGGCACTCACTGGCCATCTCCTGTCTGATGAGTGTCTTTTTTGTCTCCTGACAAGGGAAGGGAGGGCCGTGCTCTCGGCCCTTCAGACAGACCAAAAGCCCTCAGCCTGACAAAAAGACCAGTGGCGTTAGGAAAGGTAGACCAAGCGAGCTCAGTCTACCCGGATGAGCACAGAGCGCTCTGCCTCCTCCCGAGTCATAACTACCTGCTGCAGGAAACCCGCTGGCCTTCATGAGCCAAATGCAATGTGAATTCTCGCATAACCATCGAAGCTCACTGAGAGGCGCCCTCTGTTTGGAAGCAGCCGTGCTCTCGTGTGGCCCAGAGACGCTCTGAGGAGTGGAGAGCTGACACACAGGCGGGCCGGGGTCCTGCTGGCTCCTTCAGGCTCCATCGCACCAAGTTCCTGAGGACATGTTAGCAGCTGGTCCTGGCCGGGTGAGCACCCTTCAAAGGGAGAGAAGTCAGGACTGGAAGTTGCAGTGGGAAACCACCAGGTGGCTCAGCAGAGGAAGGAGTGGATCCCTGGTCCTGGGCATTTTTCTTTAGGATTATTCCAGCCTTCCATGTAATTCATCCATGAACCGTGTCCGAGGGCTGAGGTTGTCACTCTGTGCTACTCGCTATCGGCCTTTGTAAGTAAACGCTGTTTTCCAGGGTATTCGTCTTGACTGCCCTGTCCACCTGTCACTTTTCACTCCCTCCAGGGGTACAGCTGCTGCAGCTCAGGCCGCGCAAACGCTGTGGTGGCTCTGCCGCAGAAACCCCACTGTTCTGGGCTTCTGGCATTCCGCTTTGTCCAAGCACAGGCTCCGGAGTTTCGAGACAGCTGGAGGGAAGGGACCACACAGCCACACGTGAATTCCGATGCACCTATTGACACCTCCGTCCCTCTTCAGATTTCTTTTCCTTTTCATGAGTGAGGACTTGAGCATCAGGAAATGAAACTGTGCGTGTGGGCTGTGGGGGGCATTTCCTCACAGTCTACTAATTTTTGTTTCAGGAGCAGGGGAAGGATTAATGTACTTAGGAATCAAACAGATGCCAATGATTTTTTTTAAGTTGATTTCTGGGAAAATACTGTTTTCCAGTATTTTGTTGCGCAGAACAAGGTGCATCTGTGGCTTGGCTTGCATGAGGCTGCGGGCCAGGGCCCTTATCCCGGGTGGAATTTGAAGCCGCCACAGTGACTTGTTGGTTGGCTCCAACATTTGCCCGAGCCCGTCTTCACACCCCGTCACCCGTCGCCGTGTGTCTCGGCACATGGTTCACGTGGTTCACTTTGCAGAGGAGCTGGTTGGGCCTTCAGGAGTCGGTGACAACAGACAGCAAGGAGCCGTGAGCCTCCTTAAAGGCTGGTAACTCAGAGTTAGCCCCAGGTCCTTGCCAAGATGATTTCAAATATGAGATTCCTCAAAGTCACAGAGGAATATAGAAAAAAAAAGTCCAAATGCAAATTCCTGGTTGCTTTTAGCACCGCTGTTGGGTTCAGAATAGGCGTGATGGGCAGGAGGAACAGGGCCGAGTTCCTTTGCTTGGGCACCAGCTAATGGCCTTTGGCCAGCACCTTCCATTAACATCCTGGGAGCCAGTTAGAGCCCAGAGGGGCAGCCCCATTAGCCTGTGCCTGCCTAAGGAATCTGGGGGAGTCTCCATGGTGCTGTGTCCTTCCTGAATAGGGAGAGGGGGGCCCTTGGGCTATTCATTAATTAAGTCCCAGAACCGCCTGGGATTCAAAGGAGAGGATCCGACGTGTGCCAAGGCTCCTGGGGCCGCCATTCAGGAGGCCCAGTCTGGGCGCTTTCTTCCTCCCAACCCTTCCCGGGCAGCTTTGAAGGAAGGAAAGCCAGGAAGGGCGGAGGTGGGTGGGTGGGAGCGCCGCTCATAGACAGAAGGCATGTGTGCCCCCAAGCAGCTGTCCCTGCTGATGGCGGCCTCACCCACTGCCATCCCGTCTCAGACCGCCTCCTCGCCAGCTCAGGGATGACTTCTTCGGTGTCACCTCAATCCACCACTCACTCTGCAGCATTTGGTGGCTGGCCCCTTCCTCCGCTCCATCTCTCACCTCCCCACTTACCAGATTCTTCTCCTGCCCTCTAGTCTGTGCCAGCCCTTCCTCTGCCTGTCTGTTAGGTG